AGGGAGTAATAAAACAATTTCATTTGCATAGAAGAACTGGACATTCTTGCAATTATCCCAGGAATTGCATTTGAAAGTGGCCCTGTTTTAGATGTTTATCCGTGTCGTTTGTTTCTTTCCGAGTCGCAATAAGGAAGAATATATTGTATTTGTAGCTAGGTTATGGTCTATTAACTAACTTATACGCTCATATGGACCAGAATAACAGTAAGTAAATATTAATAACTTATATGCATATCACGTGACTGGTATAAATAATTACCTAACATAATATAATATTATTTATATAACCAATCTAACAGTTACGCAGTTTCAATTATTTCATATGTACATCATATTAATTATTTTTATTACATGTATTTTAATACATATAAGTAATTCATATAAATACATATAAATAAATCTTTGTTGTATAATTTGACTATTCATAAGAGCGCGCAAGCGTCTATTTGAATAAATATATTTTTGATTTTGATTTTTGATTATTTTTGATTAATATAATTATTGCACCTACGTCCACGCCGCGTGTTGACTGGGAGAGAATGCCAAAAGGTATTAAGTTCGCCTTTTGTAATCCTTGCTTTGTAATTGCAATAAATAAATGAATGTTTAAAAATTCTCAACCGTAATACTCAACTTTAAGTATTATTGTAAATGTAATAAAAAATAAATTTAAAAGATTGCGACGTCCGTCGCACAGACTTTTGCTAAAAGCGGTGTTCTTGTATTTGTGTACGTACGACAAACATATTGATGCATTATTTGAATAGAAGCAAACGGCTTTGTCTTTCAGATGGAAAGCGGTCATGTCTCGACTTAACCGTGTCTGTAATCAATTTTTATCCGTATTAGAGTAAATATAGTCAGATCGTGGATAAAACAAATATATTTTTTTAAAAGTTTTACGAGATATGTTATATATTTCTTGTTGCCAGCTTATCAGTTTCAAGATGTCGTATCGCTGATTATGAAGAGCTTAACCCAAATAAACTTTACGCCGTGTGACTGCGGGCGTGCGAATGCGCTTTTGGCCAAGTCGTTGCAGAACTATGCCGTTGGTCACCTTCTAAGTCCAACTACTGTAAAGAATAGGCTGTATGTCCGCATCCCAAACGCTTCCGCTTTTTAAAGTCTTCTTTGACTATCCAAGCCTCACATTAACACAAAGAGCAATGCAAAGAGCTAGACGTAGCATTGTACTAAACGAGTGCGTAACACCATGTAAATAATGACTAACAACACGTTAGTGACACAGTGAACAAGACTACCAAGCAAAATAATCCAAAGCAATGGTGATACATAACATTAAAAACAATTCACAAATTACTCATAGCAGGAAAACATATTAAATAGATGTTTCTTTGTTTCGCGTTGCGTTCTTAAATCATTAATACCATTGCGATGAAACAGTATCAAAGATAGAAAGCGAAAATAATTTATAACTGAAATAAAATTGACATTATGTCATTATTACATAAGGACTTTTAATATTCATGTATATACTCCTGGATAAGTATTGATTGGCGAATTACACACATCATTATAATTATGTTCTTCTACATTTGTTGTGGTCCAAAGATTCGCTTGGGTTCTTTAGCTCGTCGGTCCATTTCTGTCCCGGTCTATCGCACTGCGGTCTTCCGTATCGCCAACACCACTTCGCGTACCGCGTTTGGTTACCCAGGCGCGTATTACGCGAAGTCTCTCACGGATTTCATGGTTATTCAATTAATGACTCTGTCGCGGTTGCCTAGGTATTGGCTTCGGCGTCGGGGCCGTGGGTTCGAACCCCACACGGGACAACTATTTGTGTTACCCACAGACAGTCATTCCGCATCTGGACGTCTGTCCACGTGAAATTTATGTTTGTAAAACGTCCTAACAACACAGGATAATATTATTAAGTACGGGCAATTGGTTTTTTTTTAAATAGAAAAATCGGTGTTTATCAACATAATCGACATAAGGGAGACTATAATTATTGCGTTTTATAAATATCGGGATATCGACTTGGCCCACGCGGTGACCATAGTTCGTAAACGTCCAAGCCATTAGGCCAACACTGCGCTTATTTATGGTCAAACTAAACGTATTTGGGCTTTTTTTATATAATTATATCAACATCGCGTTTTTCTAACATAATTTTTTTATGAACTTACGGGTTGTGACTGAGATGCCTTCTTTAGATGCAAATACTTAAACTAACTTTAAGTATTGCTTTATCACGTGCTCAGCGGTAATGGAAAAAATCGTAAGGAAACCTGCATATTTTCGAAGATATGTGAAATCCGCCAAACGGCAGTGTGGCCGCGTGGTGGACTATGCCCTAATACCCTTTGTACACAGGCGGCCTTCGCCCGCCATTGGAACATGTATAAGCTTTTATATTTTTATTTCTCAAAATCGAATAGGAAATACATAGCGAGTGAGATATTTGAATTAGGTTTTGTTCTTTTGGTGTTAAAATTTTATTCACTTTTGCCTATAATTTTAAAAACTACGGTCCTTCCTTCCCATCTCGGACTCTTCCTATGAGCCCTCGCAATTTCTAGGTAAAAAGTATTTTTAAATTTTATAGTTGAGTTTACTCTACTTCTTAAGCAAGATCTGCGTACTCAAGAAAATCTTTAATTGGTGTAAGTAGTTTTAAACAACATGTCTCTGACGAAACATGTCCTGTTTATGCGATTTTCAAGAGCCGTAGTAACAGTCGAAGACACGGAACGGTTAATCGAATTAGCAAACTCCGACTCCGTCGATCCACTTTAGAATGCTTGCACCGATTGTTTAATTAGATTCCGCGACCGTGTACTATCGTTTAACCGAACTGTGACGTTGAAGGGTACTTCATACGGGCTTGAATCGATTGATCGATAGATTTTAACCGACAATCAAATTCCTATCGCGCCGATTACGACGATTAACGCGTGGTGATTGGTCAGTTTCGATCGTAACGCCTTTGCTAATCGACAAGTTTGATATGTAAGTTTTTATGTGAGAAGGGAGCCGTGATAGCTCAGTGTCCGGGCGCTCGCCTTTAATAAAATATACTCGAGCAACTTGAGTTCGATCCCCGGTGCCGGCACCAGTGAAGTTTTTAACTTTAAGTGCTGACTTATCATGTGCTCCGCGGTGAAGGAAAACATCGTGAGGAAACCTGCATATTTTCCAAATAATAACAAAAAAATATATATTTCGAAAATATGTGAAGTCCGCCAATCCGCAGTGAGGCCGCGTGGTGGACTATGCCCTGATACCTTCTGTATAGAGGAGGCCTTTGCCCAGCAGTGAGACATGTATAGGCTGTTACTTTACTTTACTATGTTAGAAGGTGGTAGGGCCACGCAACGTACACCGCTCTTGCATAATAAACGCCGCCCGTGCACATTTGCAACACCTGTAGGTGACAGATTCGTTGCCACATTTTAATGAAGAGGGTTATCTCGCTCACCGGACAAAAGGCAAAAGTATAAAACTTCCTTCACGCCGGTATTCTGTGGTACTTACCCGGACGGGTTGTTGCACGGCCCTACTAAAGAAATGTCGTACAAAGACTAGTATAAACCGAGAAAAATATATGAAAACCAAACAATGATCCTGTGCCTGAAAACGTGGTAGTATTTATGGGTAAAAAAACTTAGCTGGTAAGCCTTTGTATCTTAGGCTTTAATGAGCGTTTCAATACGGATTATGAACAAGCGTACGTATTTCAGCCGATGGTAAGCTATAGGGCAATCTAGACCGCGAATTTATACCATCAGCTCTGAAATAAATCTTTGCTTCCTTTGCCGCTGACGTTGCAGCATACTCGCAACAGACAGTACGATTTTTCCACTAATTGGCTACAATTAGTGCATTGGTGAGCGAATTGCAAAAAAGATCACTCCACGCTCAGCTATTCCGCTGGATGCGTTGTTAACGCCAATAACTTTGGAGATATAGTTTTTGTACGCAACTGAATAATTGGAAAAGGCGCAACGCGGTGCCGTAAGAAGAGATAAATATCTTTCATGTCAGAAGTATATCTCCATTCGGAAAACTAGCAACCAATTTTATAATGTTGAAACTATCTATTCCATTTTTAATTACACGGTTGTTAGGAATATCATTGTTAGAATGTACGCTTCTTAGAAGTGATCGATTAATATTGTTATTTAAATACAATGATGAAATGAACAGACGTCATTACTATACCATTATGGTTTATGTTTACCCTTTAAAAATGTCCTCTGTGCACTAAACTTAACTAAACTCTATTAATCGCATAATTTTATAAAAAAAATAATCTCACAAATTGGAAGCCCTGTTTTGCACAAATACAATCTCACGCTTGAATACAATCTCAACCTAGTAGTGATAACAATTAGAATGAACCGTAACAATCTACAAACATCTTATTAACATTCTTCAAAGATAACATCAACAGTTGCCAGAACAAACTGAAATTAATGAATTTTCTTTGTAGATACATGATCTAGACACTTTAATTATTTATTTAATACACGAAAATTATAAAATAATAAAACATTTGCGAAGATGGGCTCCTCGAGAAATGCTATGTCGAAAGATTAGGGTAACGTTTATAGTGGTAACACATTAAAACTAAAGTAATAAGTACCGGAGATTTTCGTTGGTGTAGCAATTTAGCTGAGAGGTAGGTTAGCGTCTGCGCGATTCCGGAAAACGTGGATTCGATTCCCGCAGCGGCGAGATCAACTGTCGAAAATTTGCTTTAGAAAATATATATGAAAATCATTGTTAATACCTATAACATTTGAGGGGTCCCCTTGATTTTCCTGGGATTCTATCATCAAATCCTGACCTCCTGAATCCAGCCTTTTCAAATAAAAAAAAAATCTCTTTCAAATAAAAAAAAAAAAAAACAATTTGAGAATCGGTCCACAAATACATACAGTCGAACATATAAACTCCTCCTATTTGAAGTCGTTTAAATACCCCTGTAGCTGCTCTCCGGCCTAATTATCCGTGTGTATTACCAGGGCGCTAGGGACAACCTAACCGACACCGACTCGGGCTGCGTGTCCCCCGGCTCGAGGATAAAGGACTCCGCTTCGCCGGAGCTCAAGCGGATGGACTCTGGGTACAAGTCGCCCCAGGTGCCGAGCAGCCCGTGCAACCAGCGGCGGCACCTGGCGACGCCCCACGACGACTTCAAGGAGGACTTCGCCAAGGCGCAGGCCCTAGCCGAGGTCCTGGACAGGAACTCTGATGCCAGCGACTCGTTGAGGAGCAACCCGGTGAAGGAGCACCTGGAGCAGATGATACTGAACGCCGCCACGGCCGAGGACAGGGGCTGCCTGGAGCAGGTGTTGGTGCTGCTGTATAATTATCAAGCGCTGAGCAGTTCCGTGAGCGAGGACGAATGCTATCAGGTCAGTTGCCTTTTCGGAACCTCAAAAATGGACACAGCGTTTCTGTTATTGACGTTCTAGTATTTCTAAAATTATTTTTTTTGAATGAACGAGATTTGATATTCTAAAATGAATTTTGTTCATTTCTCACCACGAAATATTTATTTCTGTCTGTATCTGTATGTAACAAGGCAATAATTTATATGAAGACATTTTTGAAGTCACAAACTCATTAATAATAGATCTAGTAGAAAATAACTAACAATACTAAGAGGTATGAAACAAGTTGTTTCACTGTCTGCTGACAAAATAATACAATGGCGAAAGACGACTCAAGTATTCAGTATTGATATAACAAATCTTACGTAACATAAGTCTATTACTCACGCAACTAGTGTGAGCATGTAATTAAAAAAAGAACAAGAGAACAAAAGTACTATTACATTTATTTCAGTTGCTTTCTTATTAAACAAATGCCCAGTAGTATCTGGGGTAAATAGGTTGTATTTAATTCGGTAATTTCAAAACCAAAATTAAAAATTCATCAAAATTTCTGCATCTGTGTGCTGTCACATTCACGTCAAACAGATCGAACTATCGATAAAACATTTCGGCACAAACTGAATAAAAATTTTACGTTTCCCCAGACCAAACCGAGGAGAATATGCGATCTGAGATCGAAACTTGAGACCGACTTCTCGTCGCACAAAACCCAAAAGGCGATAGCGACCGTCACACCGTACCAACAGAAGGGCTACAAGAGTGAGTCGCTCGAGAGCCTTTGCGTTGAAGATAGGAAACCCATAAATCTACTACAGGAGAGCGGTATATTCGAAGAGGTTGAAACAGAATGCAGAAGCACACAAACGGACGTCAACGATAGCTTCGAGTGTACCGGAGAACTGAACACCGAGATACAACGACTGAATAGCATAAGGGAGAAGTTGGAGAGACAGGGAGTTAGGAATAGGACGTTGAGCGCTAAAGACGACGCAGAGGGTCTAGAGTGCAGATGCGTGAAGTTGGGCAAGAAGCACAAACAGTATTACGAGAGGCGGTTGAAGTTCCTCGAGGGCAAGATATCGATCTACGAGGCGGCGCAGGACGTGAAAGAAGCGAAGCTAGCGCAAAGGCTGCAGAAGGAGTTCCTGCTTGAAAACAGAATACAGGTATGTATTTAGGTATTAGTACTAGTGTCGCCCAGTGGTCGACATTCGACCATAATTTATTATACGTGTTAGTGTGTAAGGTTTTTTTTATTGATTTTATGTATGTACAATTTATAAAAAAAATACTCGAATTCTTCACTCCTTCACTATATAAACTATGTGTGGAAATTTCACACTCCTGCGTCTATGCAATTTTCGTAAAAAGGGGTACAAAGTTTTTGCTTTACGTATTAATATATATATATATATATATATATATACTATTCTTCATTTATTTGGTGTATTTGTATTTTTACTAAAATAGCGCCTCACGAAAGTTTCCTCGGGACCAATATGATACATTTTTAATGGTTCAAAATGCACTTGCATATGGCCATGTGTTGTAGATTTCCATGGGTGACGGTAATTACTTCGTTCAGTGGAACCGTCTGTTTACTTATCAATTTTTCGCACAAGAAAAAAAATTGGATTAGATCATAAGTGGTATCTGTGTGTTATGTAATTTCGTAGTGACTTCATTATTGTTTACAGTATGATTACGGAATCTCTTGCATTTTTATGTCACTGTTCCTAACGATAACAATGTTTTGAAGTGGTATTTTTGTCTAACACGGCAGAATCTAACCTTTAATATGGTGTATCGACAAAAATCTATTGTCTCTTCAAATTTGGAACAATGTGTAAATATTGTATTCTGTCTTTATTTTATAAGCGGGTTTGTAATCGTAACAATGAGGCCCCGTCATCGCCGTACCAATAGAAGGAGCGAGAGAATTATTGCGGATATCCATATATGTGGGCATCGATTTATAAATAGTAAGTTCACCGCACTTCCGCCAGTACCTTACGTCATATTGACAGTTAGGCAACACCTTTTTTTAAATTGTTATATTCGATATGCGTTTCGTTTTTAAACATACACTTAACAAATAATTGTAGATCGGAGTAAAACGGTCATGATTCTGTTTATTGGTTCCAGACGTTTCAAAGGCAATTACAATATTTCAAATAAAACCCGCGGTATTTGCATTTTTACTGCACTAACTTTGGACATAAATCTCTTATATCCTGTATGTTATCCACCATCAGTACTTATTGATTGACTATTGAGTTCTGTTCACCTATTATAAGTGAATACATTGCTAAACAAATTGTCTTTAACATCGATAAAGCTTACGAGGTGATATTAGATATGATAGAGTGTGATATGGACCTCCAACAATGGTCCAAGGTTACTAATGTTGAAATACGACATTAGTAAAGGCTTACACGATTTCGACCTTGAAATTGACCTTGAACCGCTTCCAGGACTTGGAGACTCAGCTCGCCGAGCTCCAGGACAAGTACGAGAGGCTAGAGGAGGAGTGTTGCGAGTTGGAGGAGATCGAGAATGACACTCGCCTGCATTGGCAGCAGTTAGTAGCGCCTTATACTTATGGCTTGCTTATCTTATCTGGATTACTTGCAGAAACCTTATCTAGATATCGGTTTGTTTGTACGCATGAGTCGGCCGAATCTGTGTTATTGACCCATTTTCTACATTTGCTTTTATAATCGTTGGTATGTTATAATATATATATATATATATATATACGAGAGAACTATTCAACACCTGCAGCATTTTATTAGTGTACTAAATGTTCTAATTGGATTCGCAGAACACTGATAAATTATGGGTATACATGGATGGGGTATGAGTAATGCTCTTTAATAAATAATAAAAGTTATTCCCTCGTATTTATTAGCATCCAATTTGATGTGAGATGGCCTGACTCCGTAAAGATTCTTATACATTTTATTTACACGGAACTGACACTTTTCTAGAAATACAGAATTCTGACAGAGTATATTCTTGAAAAGTAAATTTAATTTTGTCAATTCATATCCAGTGCAATAACTGTGCGAATGTGAGTGAGTGCTTCTTACAAATAAAAGTCGGGAACAGAAACGCAGGTGCTCCTTAGGAAATATTCTTTTAGACTTCTACTAAGCTAGTAGTGGCTGGAGGCACTTCCTTGTCAACGCATGGAAGATCTAGTAGAAAAACACTCCAAGATTCCTCCTTGATTGGTGAAATTTCGGGGTGAAATCATTTTCTTCTGTCAATTTACAGGCTAGAGATGGACTATGAGCTGTGCACGGCTCAATTGAGAGATATGACGGAGCAGCGCGAGTGCTCACGGGCGCAGGCCGAGCGACTCATGGCGGAGCTGAACAAGCGGGAGTGCACCTTAAAGGCGAGGGAGGTAAGGTCGATTTTGCGATGGGCGGAAAAAGTCGGAGGCGTGAACTACCCAGTGCTAGTCATCTCTTTCTAACTGACGTTTGGCGATAAAGTCGCATAGATCTCGGATGATGATCGTCCGCAGATGAGGTTTACTATCATTCAATGAATTATTCTTTCTATTCGTTTCTATAGGTGTAGAATATTTTTTAATCTTTTTTTAATTTAAATGAGATTGCATCACCATATACAGCGTGTCGTTACAACCGCGATAATAACTGAATACACGTCTAACGCTACTTGCAAATAGTCATAAAAAATATAAAACGTTAAAAAAATCCGATATATTAAAAATATTTTTCAAACAAACTAATTAAATAAAAAAGAAACAAAATTTGTAACATCCTATAAAACTACAACAGACTGATTCATACATTCAGATACTTTCATTCGTTGCCAAAACGTCGCATTACAAGTCTCTCCTTCTAACAGTATGTTTATATCTTTTAAATTCATTCAACCATTGCAACATACCGTGACCTTTACAAATGAACTTTACGTTACAGTTTTATACGTAAGGGTGTTCTAAAAATGTTTGATTATTAAAATTTAAAAACTCGGTAAATTTTGATGTTTAAAGAATGTAAATGCTTAATGTAATTTTAAAAAGTTATCCTCTATATGTGTGTTCATTTATTGTCGCGGTTGTAACGACACGCTGTATATAGAACATATATTTCTGCTATTTTTTTGTCTCGAAAATTTTAGGCAGTGATATAATTTTTGATGTGAATTACTGAAATATTGTAATGTATTAAACAATTATTCTAACATTTCAGAATGAATTGCTGTCGAGGCTTGAGGGTTTGGAAAGGGCGGTGCCGGCTTTGATAGTCTGGAATGTTATAAAAGCGGTTGGCGCCCATGTCTCTCCCGGAGGCAAGGTAAGACTAGTTTTTTTATGTATTCAAAGACGTTGTTTCCTACGATCTAAAAATAAGACGTTTCTTCTATTTGAGAAACAATAAAAATACGAAATATCTAAAATACGTTTCGGAGTTGTATACATGTAAGAGGTTTCTTCAGTGGAAACAGTAACAGCCTTTACGGTGGTAGAGCCACGCAGCAGCCTCGGCTGTGGCACGAATGGGCAGACTTGTCCGGGTACCACGCCCTCACAGAAGACCGGCGTAAAGTGGAAGTATAATACTTTCGCGTTTCGTCTGGTGAGTGAGGTAGCCGGAGCCCAATTTCCAAAAGGTTGTCAACGCATCTGGAACCCTCGGGTGTAGCAGATGTCCATGGGTTATTCACTTCGGCGTTATTCACTTAACATCAGGTGGTGAACCGTCTGCTCGTTTGGCAACTTCTCACATAAAAAAAGTGATCCACCAGCGTCAAAAAAATTGACAGCACCACCTCACCACTCTCCACTAAACGCATTTGTGACTGCGTCGGTCTAGATATGGCCATGAACAAAACGATAATATGATGAGGGCATCGCAAATTGGTGGATACTCACTAGTAAAGTATTTAGCATTTTACATGTCAATATTTGCTAGGTTGTCAACGCATCTGGAACCCTACGGTGTAGCAGATGTCCATGGGTTATTCACTTCGGCGTTATTCACTTAACATCAGGTGAACCGTCTGCTCGCTTGGCAATTTTTCATATAAAAAAAGCCTACATATGTTCCACTGCTGGGCAAAAGCCTCTGTATACAGGGTATTATTAGGGCATAGTACACTCGACCCCCCAGCGGATTGAAAGCAGACATACAATGTCGAAATTATTTTTTACCATTTAGAAAATATGCAACGATTTTTACCCTCACCGCTGAGCATAAGCACTTAAAATTAACAATGTCATTGGTGCCGCGATTTGAACCTTGGTTGTTTCGCAGCGTATCATCACGTCGCGGCTGGGCCCCTACGGGCAGGACGCGAAAGGGACAGTTGCGCTCCATCGGGCTCCCTCTAACACTTGCGGGGCGCTCGTGGCCTACAGAAACCTGAACGCAGTACCAGACTCCACTATGAGGCAGCTGGAGAAACAAGTCGTCCAGTAAGTATCAAAAGTGAATCGTTATCGCGTAAAGTTGAGTGGGGGGGGGGGGGGGGGCACAGGGTTCGTCGCCGAATGTAAGCGAGTTAAAGGGGGACCGAGTCTGCCCCTGTTATAACACTTCCAATGAACGAAAGAACGAACAATGAACTAACTTCCACATCTAGGTTTATTATTGCGTTGTTGAAAGTTATAATAAGCTATAATAAAATTCACTCCATATTCCACCCAAACACGAACCCGATCTATTTTTATTAAAGTATTATATAACAGTATTTAATTATTTTATTCAGTTGTCCAAATTCCCATTTAGTTTTTTTTTATATAAGAGGGCGGCAAACGAGCTGACGGTTCACCTGATGTGATAACCACCGCTTATTGACATCTGCAACACCTGTAGAGTTGCAGATGCGTCGAAAATTGGGCTCCAGCTACCTCACACACCAAACGAAACGCAGAAGTATAACACTTCCACTTGACGCCGGTCTTCTGTGAGGTCGTGGTACTTACCCGGACGGACTTGCCCATTCATGCAACAATGAAGACTTGCTTGGCCCTACCACAGTCAGAATCTGATACTTAATAATTTTTATTACAATGTAGAGGTTGCAATACGATTAAACAAACTCTTCAAACGATATTGTACCAACAGCTTATTGGCTGAGAAGAGTGAAATGGAATTGAAAGCGAAGAACTTAAAGAAGACGTTGGAGGCGAGAGTCAAGCATTTGGAAGAGGAACTGGAGTCTGCGAAGAGACAGGTGGCGGCCGCAGAATGCGGAGCAGAAGTAAAAAGAGAGAAGATAGAAGAGAAGATCAACGAGCTGGAAAATAAGATCAGAATCGAGAAGGAAGAGGGGAGCGTTAGTAATCTTTTATCTATTATGACAAATTGTACATTTTCTATGATATAACGACATGTTTTATCAAAAAGGTCTTTTAAACTTAATTAGTAAGTGATAAATAATCCACATTTAGTCCCAACTATAACCGATGTTGTCTGTGTCTGAAGGCATCCGGCGGACGATAAAATTTTAAATACACATCACTGAGTTTTCATGTCCCGGTCCAGTGAATAGCTAATGTTTTCTGTACAAGCAGCCATTTACAACATAAATTACCTTTGAATGCAAAGTACAATTATCATATATTTTTTTTTTAAATAACAAAACTTACCAAATGACGCCGTATTTTAACTGTTCACTCTGAAACATGACATTTGGAACAGGAATTCATATTTTTTATAATTGCACTGTCATATTCTTGGATGGCCGAGATAACATTGCAAGCTCTTCCCATGGATTTCCATAGGGATTGTCAACAAGTAACTAATAAGTGATTAGTTACTTGTCAACAATTCATTGTCTGGGCGCTTTTAATTCAATTTACTCGAGCAACCTGAATTCGTTCCCCTGTGCCGGCACCAATGAATTTGTTTATTTTAAGTGCTGACTTATCACTTGCTCAGTGGTGATGGTAAGCATCGTGGGAAAATCTGCATATTTTCGGAATAGTAATAAAAAAAAATTTCGAAAATATTTGAAGTCCACCAATCCGCAATGGGGTTTAGTGGTGGGCTCTCTTGATACCATCTGTACAGAGGAGGCCTTTGTCCAGCAGTGGGACGTTTATAGGCTGTTACTTTACTACTTTACTATTGTTAGTCGATGTTAAATTCCTCCACACGCAATTTCGTAGAAGCCCGCCGACCCGGCGACCAGTGACAGGATCAAGGTGCTGATGGCCAACGAGCAGGATCTGAAAGCGCGCATCGCCGAACTGGAGAGGCGGGAGGCTGCATATCTGGAGATGCTGACGCAAGCGGACGAGATGTGGGCCGAGATGGAGGGCGGCTACAAGAAGAGGATACAGGAGTCTCAGAGCACGGAGACGCATCTGAGGGGATTGGTAAGTGCGGCACCTTTGTATGCGTGAGAATTTGTAGAAAAAAAAATGGACGGAAAGATTTAAAAGCGGGAATCGAATCCAAGTCTTCCGGATTCGCGCCCAGACGCTTTAAACACTATGATTTTTTCTTATGTGAGAAAATGGCAAGTGAGCTGGCGGTTCACCTGATGATAAGTGGTAACCACCGCCCACGCATATTTGGAACACTCGTAGGGATGCGTCGCCACCTTATAATATAGTGGGCCCCGGTCACCTCACTCACAAGACGGAACGCAGAAGTATAACACTCCCACTTCACGCCGATCTTCTGTGAGGTCGTGGTACTTACTCGGACGGACCTGCCCATTCTTGCAACTGCTAACCGTTGCATGACCTTACCGAAGTTAAAAGTTGAAATGCCAACGGCAATCTTTCTGCTCGCTCATTTGCAAACGTGGCAGGCTACGAGCCCATCTTCGAATTGGCCGAAGCTATCCGGATAATAACGCGACTTGCCCCCGCCAGGTGAAGAAACTGGAGACGGAGAGGGATCAGTGGAGGAAGTGGACGGAGCCGCTGAAGAAGAAGCTTCGCGAGGTCGAGGAGTCGGAGTCGGGGATGAGGATAGCGTTGGAGAAGGCGGAGAGGGATGCGAAAGCCCTGAGGGAGAATAACAACGACCTCGCCGCCATTTGCGGAAGGGCGGAGGCGGACGCTAGGAAGTCCGAGGCGGCGTTCAAGGCGCTCGAAGCCAAGTTCAAGGTGAGGAACGTGTTTGGATCGTGTTTATTGTGTATGGTCCAGCGTTGGTTACACAAGTTGAATGGTGTGTAAATAGTTTATACTAATGTTTACAAAGTAAGGAGGAGCTACAGAGGAGGCCTTTGCCCAGCAGGCTGCTACTTTACTTTACTTTTATGAAGGAGCATCATCCTATTTTTCTATGGTATTTTGAAAAAAATAAAAAACAGAACAAAATAGTTGACCGGGCATTATAAGTGGTTTGTAGTCACTATGTTTCAAAATCATGAATATGCTGAGTTTTGATTAAAATTGAATGGTAAACAAAACTTTTTAGGTAAGGTTTAAATAAAAAAGACCATGTGCGAACGCGTTAGTTAAAGACCATTGTTTAAATTTTTAGTGTTGTATCCCATAGTTATAAGACCTTTCCATCGGATGGATATTAAAAAAGCGATAGTCGGTTAATAATAACAAAAGCTGGCACCCATATCGATAAACACAGGGTAATGTAGTGTTTTAAAATTTGGTGTATATCTCTGTCGACAGAAGGAGATTGAACACCTGCGCAGGATGAACAAGCAGCTGGACGAGGATCTGAAGAGCAACAAAGAGATATCCCGAAAGACCGAGATGAACTTCATCGGAGACCTGGAATCCATAAGGAAAGAGCTGAGCAGGGCCTGCAAGAACAATCAAGAACTTGAAGTGACGAATGGAGAACTGAAGGAAGAGGTAACTTTATTGCCTTCTTAAAATTGACATATGTAAGTGAAATAACGGAACCTAATAAATAAAATGGTTGACATTTAGAAAATCGTGAAGACTTAGTTTTGTAAAATTTTAATTCTTTGTGCGGTTAAAGATAATTGTTAGATGTAATGGGATGTTTTTAAGAAGTCGGTAGTCGTAACCTGTATTGTTGAAATATATGTATGTGGTTCTTTTCGTGTAGTTCTGTGTTTTCTCGTAGGTAGTTTTTTTCAATTTACAGCTTCGGTTTTCTGTTTGTTTCCATACGGGGAGGTGGCTTTTAATTTCTGGGAATCGGGTTAACGGCGTTCATATTCTGAAATGCTTCGAACCTTTCGCACGCTTTTAAAAATTTTGATTACTCCTTTATGTGCATTGTATTGTATTTAATCCAAATCCAATTAAATTGTATGCTGAAGGTCCAAAACATTTCGAAGTATCGAATGGGCATTAATTTCCTCGCTCGTCACCGCTTTCGCGATCGGATAGGGATTTCCGCTTGCTCGCTTTAACGCTACCGCGTCCGCCGCCTACCGAGCGGGTTGTGCACGTTGGGATTGGCTCTCGCGCCCGCGGGGGAGCGCTCGCCCCTACATGGGCCGTATGTCCCCAGGTGGAATCGCTGGAGAGGCAGCTGGCGCTCACGCAGAAGGCACTGAGCCAGTGCAAGAGGCGGTGCGACGACAAACTGAAGACGCTCAGCCACGAGCTGTCGATAAAGACCGAGGAGCTAGAGGAGATCAGGAGCGAGTCGATGCGCAAATCGCTGAGGTCCTCCCGCGTGGACCTAATACCGGACAGGACCGAGTACGTGGACGAGGGCTACTCGGTGTACACGGCGCCCAAGGACCAGTCGAGGATGCACCACAGCATGAGTTATATAGCGTCCGGCTCGCGCTGCAGCTGCCCCACGCTGCGCAGCCAGCTCGTCGGCCAGCTGATCGAGGACCTGTTCGACCGGTCGCACAGCGCCGCCGGCGACGAGCTTGTCGCGCTGTGCGACGAGCTCGCCGCCGGCGACGAGGCTGACGCGAGGGCGAAGATCACCAACCACCTCCTGATGGCGATCTCTAAGGAGCTCATCAGGTCGATCGGGGACGCCGACGCGAAGACGGAGACCGAGGTAAGTGCGATTGCGTTGTATCCCGTCTATTGTCACTAATTCGTTGCTCACCGTTTCTTTTTTTTGGTTTGTCTCTAATAATGACTAATTTAATCATGGGTGCGGTTAATCATTTCTAATGATCGATATAATAAACATATCGCCACATTCAGTTTCACATTGGTCTGACGAAGCTTATTTTACAAGGCATTTGAGTGTTTTCTTAGCAGGTTTTAAATGTTAAGTAGGTGTATATGTAGTAAAGGTTATCCGATGCGAAAAGCTTGGAACAGTACACAGTACAGTTTTTAAATCAGCGTTAAAACATAAGTAAGAAATATTAACCTATTTATTACGTCTCATTGATAGACAAACGATAGATTGTCGATAGGCGTGAACTAACTTGGAAATGCCTCGTCCTCAGATTAAACATACGCCGCGTTCCCCACACTGTGCAGTTTTGATTTTGGATTTCCAGTTGAAAGGAAACTTGCTTAGTTGTTATCGTACCGAGGCGATCACGTCACCCAAACTCTAAATCGCCGAGAGAGGGACGGCGAACGTGAGAGTGAGACGGTGGCGTATTGCAGGAATGGCGGCGCGCGGTGACGTCATTTTCGGGGAGCGGGTCCGCGGCGGGGGGTGGGGGGAGGTTGTCGGGCAACGCGGGGGTACTTCAGGGCGCGTCCAGGCTGGCGAGCGTCAGTTGCGCGTGCGCCGCCGCTCGCCTCTGTGCCGCCATTCCAAATCTCGCGGACACCGTCAACGTCTGCCAAGAGGTGAGATTTATACTGTTATTACCTATTATGTTCAGAGATTAGAGCTATACAACGTGCGGAGACAAACTAGCAGATAGTTCTGTTATTACGTGGTCGCTGTGTTGTAAACCTTCTAGGGAAGGACTCCCGGGCAACACACTCACCCGATGGTGCAAATGTTTCTACTAAACTTCGGTCTTCTGATAGGCCTCAATACGTCTCTTGACGAGACTGCCCATTCGTGCAACATCTAGTTCTTCATCTATTCTAACTTTATAGTTGACTAGTTGATCATCTAATGGTCATCAGCAACACAATTTTTCTGAAGGGGCGATGCAAACGAACAACATAGTAGGCAAATGCAAAAGTTTAGATATATATAATGTATGAGTTTAAACGTTACATTTTGTAGTGGTAGGGCTACGCAACAGTCTTCTCCGTTGCACGAAAGGGCAGGCCCGACCGCAAAATTACCACGACCTCACAGAAGACCGGCGTGAAGTGGAAATGTTATACTTCCGCGTTTCTTCTGGCGAGTGAGGTAGTCGAAGCACAATATTCAAAAGGTTGTCAACGCATCTGCAATCCTCGAGTGTAGCAGATGTCCGTGAGTGGCGGTAGTCACTTAACATCAGGTGAACCGCCTCTCGCTTGGCAACTTTTCACCTAAATAAGCTGTAAATATCTGTTTCGCGCAAAGAGTCGTGGGTTTGATTTCCACGAGAATTACTTATGTGACCCACAGATAATTGATTATTCCCAAGGAGTGTTCACGATTATGAATAATAACATGATTCACCTGTAACGAGCCCTTATGTTGCGTTGTTATTACTGCTTGTCTTAAATCTATAATCAATAATAAGAAAATATTTTTTCACAGGATCAAATTTTTTAATCTGTATTTTTAGCCTGTATACAGCGTGTCGTTACCATCGCGACAATAAATGAACACTCGTCTAACGCTACTTGCCAATAATCATAAAAAAATATTAATGTTAAACAAAATCCAAAATTAAAAAAAAAATGCTTTTCAAACAAACTAATTAAGTAAAAAAGAAACAAAGTTTGTAACATCTCAACAACTCTTTTAAATTCATTCAACCCATTCATTGCTTTGTGACCTTTACAAATGAACTTTACGTTACGCTTTTATAGATAAGGGTGTTCTAAAATTCTTTGTTTTGGAAAATTTTATAACTCTGTAAATATTGATGTTTAAAGAATTTAAATGTTTAATACAACTTTAAAAAGTTATCCCTTATATGTGTTCATTTATTGTCGCCATGGTAACGACACGCTGTATAATCTTTGCATTGATGTTAAAATTAAGTGTTTGTTGTAGGAAGTTTTGGAGCATGGCGACGTTAAAATAATGGAGGAGCAATTAGCGAATGCTATTGAAAGCATTGTTGTAAGTATTGTTAATAGTATCGGAGGTGATGGAAGGTTACTACAAAAGCTTGTCGCGTGATTTGCATATTTTATAGGAAAATTTTTCTTCCATAGAATATATTATATATATATATATATATATATATATATAAAGAGATTTCCACCGATAATTAACTCATCACGATATTTCTGGAACCATAAGACGTGGAGACTTCAAATTTGGTAGGAATATTCCTTTCGCCGAGTAAAGGTCAGCTAAGAATTAAGCTAAGATTTTACGTAACCCCATCCACAAGTGGTGTTGCGGGGGCGTTAACAATAATAATTTATATGGCAAAACAACGTTTGCCTAACCAGCTAGTTACTTATTAGTATGTCGAGCGTTTTTACTAAACAGGTAAATTTCGCGACAAGCTTTTGTATCATTTAATAAATTGTGTAATACATTTCACTAAATTGATTGGTTTGATTTAATTTAATGTAAAATTTCTTCTTTTTAGCGCTATTAAGTAAATGCTTGTTTTTAAAAAGATTTTTTTTTAAACTAATTTATTATGTTTAGAAATTTATTATTATTATAATAAAATTTGACCCCATGAAATTCATCGAAACGAAAACAACGTATTGTCACGGAGATAACTGTGTAGTTTCAGAAACGTCGAGAATTAAATCCTCTAATTAGTTTTACATATTAATTTAAAACATCTTAATTTCTTCGCTTTCCAGAATTGTCCATCTTGTGCATTGGGTACAAATGCGATAGTTTGGAGCACAGACGTCTGATGCCGTTAGTTGTGCGAATTGTTGTGAGTAGATTCGTCTTTTTATTCGCATAACTTAGACTTGTTCAAAAAAACGAATGGTGGATCACACTAATCACATAAATATCGCATATTATGTCGTTGGTCTTTGAAAAGTATTAGCAAGTGACAATCAACAGAATGTAATACTGCTGAAAGTGTTTATAGCTCGGCTAATTTCCATGATATGGATATAATTTATATGCCAGAACCTTTTCCGAAACACGCTGCATCTTACGGTATTATTCCGATCTGGTCAGTAGTTTTCTCAGTATAACCGAACTAAAAAACCGGCTCTCCATTTATTAGTATAGATTAATTTATGTCCAACTTTTACGTTCATATGGCATACTTTTTATTAGTTCTTCATTATTCATATATATATATATATAATATATATATATATATATATATATATATATATATATATATATATATATATATATATATATATATGAATAAGTATTTAACATAATCAAAAATATCTAATTCTCATCACGATTGCTTTTTTTATCAATTTTTGTTTTTTTTTCCTTCCAGGTGTTTACCTCCACCGACCTCAATCTGGTGCCTTCGTAGTATAGCTAGTTATTAACATGTATATACACTGTATCATACTAAGATAGCGATTTACGACATATCGGATAATTATATCGAATAATTTTTATGTATAAGCGATACATATCGAACAAATCGTACCTTCATATCGACTGTAAGATTACGAATTAAATGTATTTTTTTCGGACGTGATTTTTATTTTATTTAACTTTCCGTGCCAACCGTTTTTCGACTTTGTGTTTCTGTAAATAATAACACCTAAGTGTATTAGTTTCTCAACGTGACATTAATAAATCATTTTTGTATCAAGCTGGATCGACGTTTTTTTTACGATCGAAAAAGAATTTTATTTACGAAAAGATGATTATCATTGATGAATTAAATAATTATTTAAAAACTGCATTGGAATTATTATTTATCAAATCCCCTAAATGTCCTCCAACATTCTATTCGTGCTTAGTTTTTAGACCATAAACAAGTACTATGAAATATTTTGTCAAACTGAGGGTAGATATATATTAATAGTGATTTGAGGTAGATATATTGAGTCAAACGTTGATCTATTAGTTTAAATAGAACAAATTTTAATTGTAATTAATAATAATACTTTAAAGCATACATATAATTATATAGATGGTAAGAATTAGCAGATGTAGAAAGAAATAATACTGCTCGATCTCACAACAATTTAGTTAAAACACTATTTTCCTATTTAAATGTCAGGTTTTTGTACAAAGGTATCTCATTTTAAAATATCTAAAATTTTAATGAAAAACCTAATGCACCTTGAAAAAATACCACTTTATTTAATTTCCTTTTTTATTATAACCTTCTAATTCAAACCCAATTTTTTTAACATGTTAAAAAAACATTAAATGGTCTGACGGTTGTTGCATATTTCTACAGACTTGTAAGTACCGACTTAAAAAAGAAGAACCGTCAATTGTCAATAACTATTTTGACATTTAAAAAATGGGAACGAAATTTTTATGTGGCTACTAAAATATGATGGACAGCAAAACAGACGGTGAACGATTTAAAAATTGATTGGCCCCGTTCTAATTAACAATTTCGTTTTTTAACAGGTAGAAAAAATAATAAATCCGAAATTATCATGCTGCGATATCGACAAAGATGTCTTCAAGCCCTGCGAACGTAACAAATCAGAGCCAGTGAAGAGAAAGGATTACCACAAAGACTGTGTTCCAAAGATATGACAGTAGGAAAATGTCTTTGGATGAAGTGACCAACTTAAAATCGGAAATCCTATTTGGCTCTTCGCATTGCTCCTGTAGCAGTTGTGATACGCTCCGTTGTTTTTCAAAGCGAGATGGTAAACCCAATGAGTGTCGTTGCTCTATATGCAAAGAACCGACAACGTGCCTGTACAATTTGAAAAAGACTAGTCCTGAAACTAAAGCGATCTCTTCCGAGGAAAATCAAAAAGTAGATAAAGAAGTGAAATTGATTCATAAAAACAGTTCAAAGAAGAGTGCACGCACCAAATATGATAGAGAGAGAATATATGGCAATAAAAATATCGTAAATATTAAGGTTATAAAAAAGAATGTCGTAATACAAACTCAGCCCCAACAGGTTGACGATATTTCCGTGAAATGTAAAGACAAGAATATTCAGTCACAATGTCTGGAAAACGATGCAAATGCGTCGCTCGTCTATCTAATAAACAAATTAATCACCAACTACAATAATGTCTCGATACAAGATGTCGTTGATAAAATAAAGTCAGTATGCAAAACGTGTAGTTGCAAAGTATGCGAATGTATTCTTACTACCGACAATACTATATGTAACTGTAAACCTTGCGAGTGTATTGATTGCAAAAATGTTCAAATGCAAATCGATGATAATACGGAATATAAAAATGGCAAAAGTACTTATAAAGCCCCAGTGTCTTTTCAAACACCTATCATAAAAAGCGATAATAAATCACAAGTATCCAGTGACACAGATAAAAAAGTATATGATGATCATCCAAAAAGGCAAAATGAACCTTGTCAATGTAAACCTTGCGATTGTGATCATTGTAAAATTTATAATGTAGGTATAAACGATGGTGGACAGACACAAAATCGCCAGGCTATCATACTAAAGCAGAGAAAGGCAAGCGAAATAAGTGAAATGGGAAAAACAAAGAGTTATGCTTGCAAATTGGTTCAGTGCAGCAAATGTGGATCGATATTTAGGCCTTCAAAGAACGTTATTGTGGCACCTGTAGAAGAATATTCACAAAACAATTTATGCTCATGCTCTCCCTGTGATTGCAACGATTGTAGACAAAACAGGTCATCCGTCAGCGTTAGAGGTGTGCGTGAAACATCTACAGGGATGTTGCAAAATTCAAATTGTCAATGTGAAGTATGCTTAAATCAGACGTGCCGGCAAACAACGGGGTCGTGTCGATGCGAGAGTCAAAATAGCGTGATTAGTAAACCATTCGAGAACAACAAGCAAAATATCGACATTCACAGCGCTTTCGTAACGAAGAAAATATCAAACAACGAACAAAGTTGCACTATATCTGTTCTAACAGACGTTGTACTGGGCCAACGGGAGAAAGTAGCAAAGAAAGTAAATTATGAAGATCAAAAACATAATTGCATTACTTGTGAAAATAAAAATAAAACTTGCCCAACTGAATCGACTTCTTTTTGTCATATACGTAATGTTTCCACAGTACGCGTTAACGATCAAGAAACAAGGAAATGCCAGTGCAGCCCATGTGAATGTAAGGTTTGTGAAAAGTTCAAAAAAATAGAACAGGGAGTTTGGAAATCAGAGAAGCTTAGACTGAAATGTCATTGCGAGAGGTGCGCCTGTATCTTATGCGATGATTTATTAAAATCTAAAGACATTGTAGATTATAATGAAAAAAATCAGCTACCTGAAAACATTAGTAAAGAGTCTAGTTCTAGTAAAGACCGATCAGTATATTTGGCAATGTTATATGACGTATATAGAAACACGTGTGCTATTAAAATCAATTATGATGTTCGTAGCACTCTCTCCGGAAATAAAGCAATTACAACACGACACAAAACGCGAGTACAAAACGAAAGAAATTTTTTATCAAATTATTGCCATAAGAGCAACACGACAAGTTTTCAATCAGTTCTTTCTGCTTCAACACCTACCAATAAATTTTTGAGATATCGATCGCCCGAAAATGAGCATAAAAAACTTTTTCTTGATAGTCACAAAGTCATCGACAACAAAATTGTAGCAACTTTCGTTAACGAAATCGTACGGATTGAAGATATGAACAATTTAAACTTTTACATGAAAAGCGCTTCCTCACAAAATGCATTAGATGACGAATTATCTAACAATACTGAGTCCTTAATGTATTTCCCAGAGATGTTAGATGACCATTCGAAATGTAAAAATGATAAGAAAGATGACGGTTATAACACAAAAGAGAAAAAAGAGAGCAAAGAAGAAATTCATCAAATGATATCATCAAAAGATTATAAAGCTGCACACAATGACCGCCATAATCATAAAGATCATTCCACAAAGTACGATCATTCCACGAATAATAGAATTGTTCGCCAGTGTCTCGGTAAAACTAATCTTGTATCTAAAATTTCTGAGACTAGAAGTCAAAATATAAAAAGTGAAAGTAAATTGAAAACAAATTCTTCTCCTAATGAATTTGAATTGGGATCAAAAATAGTCCTCGATAAATTTTTAGATGAACCCAATAACAATAAATTATTACAATCAGCTAACGGTAACTTGGAAGAGCGTAAAATTCTTTTTAAGTCAAAATTACTAACTTACGAACTGCTAAAAATGTTATTCCGTTATGAAAAGGCAAACAAAGAATTTCAAAGTGTAAATAAATTTAATAGTATTGATGATGATCATAATTCAAAAGAAGATATTGATCCTAATCGACATCAAATTAAATCATCTGAGAAAACGAATACAACGAATCTAGATTTAAATTCTTCTTGTGTGAAGTTAGCTTTTGAAAGTAACGAACTACAAACTCATATCGAAAAAGAACGCATAAGTAATGAAAGCTTGAAATTAAGCACGGAGGAAAACATAATTGCAAGTTACGACAGTATTGATACAAAAAAGTTGAACATAAACAACGGCCACAATAAGCACTTTGAAAAAGTATCTAATGACGTTTTGATTAATAAATATCCAAATATGAATCACAGCGAGTTGAAGTGTGCAAGCCAAGAGTTGTCAACAATATCTAGAAAAGTGGAGTCAGAAATAATTTCAAGAAATAGTACTACTGAACAATATAACTTCATTAGTAGTTCAGAAAAATTACATAAACGAGATGAACCTTTGAATTTAAAAAGAATTAGATACGTTGATTTTGGCAACAAAAACAGATATGAAGTTCTAAAGAAGAAACGATATATATTGATCGAAAACATCGTTGCAAGGTCCGAGCAACATAAGTCTCAATTAAATGAATTTTTGTACATTTGATAAATGTTCTATACCGAAGCTATAAAAACTGGTAGGCAGTATTTTCTAAGTAGGATTGTTTTAAAATAAATAACAAGACTTTCTAAATTGTTTAGTACTAATTTGATAAAAAAGTTTAATTTATTTTAAAATGATATAATTATATTTCAAAATTCTGTACAAGCGGATATTTTTGCTTTGAATAAAATATTTTGCATATATTTTATTAATTGGAATAAACATTACGAAAGTCACAAAGTAAAGTTAGCGCCTTGCGGTTATTATTGCAGCTCTGGTTAATAGACCGATACGTATCGTGTACTATCACTCCTATATTTCTTGCCATTCTTGTAAAGACATAAGGCCTTGTATAAAGGGATATAACCACTTAACCGGGAAAATTATTTTAATCACTCTTTCCAATAGATTCAAATCCCAGATCAGTCACCGGAGGCATTCAGAATCTAAGTTTGCCTTTCACAATCCCATACAGACGCCTCCATGGGTTAGACATTGAGAGAAAAAAAAATATTTATTAAAAATCGCTTATTTTTATTATTCAAGAAATGCCTGTATAGCAATATAATTAAGATAGTATGTATCTTGTATTAAACTGATGTTTGTGCTTTCAGTCCCGAGACTATTAAAGCTTCATCTGACGCAGAACCGGTGGGCACGCTATAGAACCCACGGGTTTGGGCCCTCCGCTGTGGGTAGGGCCGCGCATGTGCTCATGCGTGCGTTTAACTACGGCATGTCATCTAAGGGACATCGAGGTTGCGGTGCGGACCGAGACCCCGATGGCCGTCGACTGTGTTTTTAGCTAATCGGTGGCTGGGGGCGGTGAGAACCGCCCTGGAACGCGGGTGTACCATGTGTACGCGTTGTGTTGTTTTCGCCGTGGTCGGAGGTGTTGGCGAACGAATGTGTTTGTTGCTACACTGTGTGTGTAGTGTTATCCGGTGGGACCCCCGACGGTGGGTCCGATGTACCAAAGTCCCCTTCCTCGACCGGGTCGATGAGGACGTGTCGCTGGCAACGCTTGTTGACGCTCGCGTTTGGATCGGGTTGGTAATTTGCTGCGCTTACCACCAGAGGGTTGGGATGATGTTCGGCTCTATCGAAGAACCGTTTGGTCAGGTCTTTGAAAAATTCGCGAATATTCGGGAGTCTGCAATCGCTGTGCAAGTCGACGTTGCGTTGATACCGCTGCGCACCGGTTGCGCGGCGCATGAACTTATTTTGCACTACTTGCAACTTGTGCAAGCGAGTAGGGTGCGTGTGGGAGACATGCATGCGTAGGACATGATTGGCCGTACGCAAGCTTTGTATAAAAGTAATTTGTGTCTTAAGGGCATTTTACTTGACTGGTTATGTATAGTGTTTATCAGTTTATCAGAATCAAATTCAAATAAAATGAGTAGTATAAAAATTAAAGAAACAACAACTTTCTGATTTTAATAACTAAAATACAAAACAAATGATTTATTTATATTTTAAGTTTTAAACAATAAAAAAAATAATTCGACACAGACATTCAATACAATTTAATATTTTATTAGAATCAAATCATATTATATACAAACAGATGACTGTTTACAAAAATTGACTCAAGAGTGTAATTGATATAATACATTTATTAAAAACCGATTGTTATTATTGAAGAAATCGTTTTAAAAAATTGGTGAAGGCTTGTCCAGGGAAGTATTACGACCTCAAAGACGTGGAAGTATTATAGTTTCGCGTTTCGTCCGGTGAGTAAGGTAATTGGGGCTCACTTTTTGTAGTCACGCTAGTGTTAGCCAATGTTATTTTTTTGATATGTGTACAAAATTGCAACCAACGTGTGTAGCCAAACAACGTGTGTAGCCAGCCTTACAATCGTGAAAAGTAACGGCCGTTTTCAATAACCTATCTATCTATAGATTTAGTTATTGGAGATAGAATTTTGACTTAATTACATATTATTGAGCTAATGTTAAATACGTATCACTAGTAACACATCTACAGATAGATAGAATATTGAAACCGGCCGTAAATCGATTGTGTCTGTACATTTTATTTGATGCAAAGCAGAAAGCGTTGTGTCAAATTTGACAAATTCAATACTATAAGTTAAATCTTTCAGTAGAAAATATAACTAATCAAAGAGAATATAACTACTACGTTTAAAAATGTAGAAAATGTAAACTGAGACGGGAGCACAAAAAGCGCAAAATGAATAAACAGCGTCGTGTTGGTCGAACATGTCCGAAGAGGAACTTTTTGGAAACCAGAGTTATTTATGATAGCGGTTTAAAACTGGACAAATATTTCGATGAGAACGTTCGCTTGAATGTTATGAAAAATAGAAGCTGCTATTTCAGTCCCGATATGAAGGATTTTGGGCAACTCACTGAGTGTTTAGGAAATGATGGGGTAAGTGTGGTTAAAAACTTGTATAAGATTGAAGGCGCAACATTTAGTACAATCATTATTGCCAACTCACAGGAGTCAAGTGTGCCTAGCCACATCGTAAAAAGCTTAAGTACTGAACAGTTTTCTAAGTTCCTATTGAATGTTGAAGTCCCGCTTATACATAATTTTGATTTATTATAGAAAAATAAATTTCCAGATACCTAGTGTTAAAGATTCTTAATGTAATTCAAATTCCAGCAAAAATATCAAACGCACGAAAACGATTTCCACCGTGAGTCGAGAGAAATTGCGGATTTATTCAAGAGCGTGAAAAACATATTGTCCAATTGTTTGCCTAAAGATACGCGCCAGTCATCGTATATTGGTCCTAATAAGCAAGGGGCATGTGAGAAAATTTTAGGCATTTCGAATCGTCTGGACAGTACCAACTACGGTGAGAGTCAGCCGTATAATAATCATGAAGTCGCGCCGGTAAACAATACTTACGACCAACCAATGGGAGGTGATGTCTTTCTAAATCAAATTACCATTACAACCAGGGCCGGATTTAGGGGAGGGCGACCGGGGCTACAGCCCCGGAGCCTCAAAAGCGGGGCCTCCACTATAGAGACTTCAAAAAAAAAAAAATCATATTCCGACTAGTAAACATTAGTACACAACTTTTCCTTTCATAATTTTTCATAATTCTTTTTTCCGATTATATTTATATGGTCGTTAAGTAATAAAAGAATCTATACTTGGTTTCACAATAAATTATTTATTGAAAAACTCGACCGAAAAAAATTGATCATTTTATTTGGAAAATAATTTGGGGCCAAGGGGCCTCCTCCACTCCTTTGCTGTCCCGAGGCCTCCAGACCTCTAAATCCGGACCTGATCACAACGGTGGCGCAGCTAAGCTATTGGCTTTGGCGCTGGAGGTCATGGATTCCACTTCCACATGGGACAAGTACATGTGTGAGTAATAGCTCACGTTAACGTCCGCTTCATCATACTCTTAAGCAATTTTATGCGTTCACGGTTTCTTTTCATAAGCGTGGTAATTTTTATGGGTAAAGAGAAAGCATTTATCTTTTTAACAAAAATAGCATTTATCCTTTTGCAAAATAGCAGGCTGACTTTTCAGTTTATTAAGTCCCGAGATGAAACAAGTGGTGTGTGTGTGGTGTACCGTCGCATCCGCTCACTAAGTTATCGTTCTGAATACCGGGCTCAAATATGAGATAGATTTATTTGGTACATGAGTGTGAGGATAGAGTAGTGAGAAAAATAAAGTTATTAATATGGGGGATATTTATTTGTTTTCTCGTCTGGTTGGGTTTATTATTGTAAATAAACATATAAAATAATCTATATATTAATAAGTGAAGCAAGCCCCCTTTTGTACCCCTTGTTACGAAAATTGCGAGGTAATAATATGAAATTTCACTCATTTATTTATACTTTATGTATATAAATTGTATGTAATAAATAAATAATTAAATAGGATCCAACCAGGCGGAAGTCCTCGGCTGTACTAGGAACCGCTAGTAGTATTTTGACAATCAATATTAAATGTAATGCTTCTGTATTGAATAAAAATCTAAATTGATGTTCACAGATGAACGCAACAAGTTAAATATCGCCATTAAAGACGTCCGAATCGCCGAAAAACCGAGAATTAAAATTATAGCCGAAAAATTCGCTCGATACAAAATCAACGGGGTCGAAGTGAGAAAATTGGAGCAGCGCATTGTATGCGTCGAGTATGACGTGTACAGCGCCGAAGTAGAAACTAATCCAAAGCCCGTGCAAGTATTAAGGGCATACTTTTCGGTTGCACCATTGTGTTTAACTGATAATGGTATTTATTATTATCGAGTTAAGACTTTAATTGCATTGTCTTGTTAGACTAGTAAGCTACTAGGGGTATTTAAATCCCTATTTTATTTAGGAATTGACTAGATATAGAAAATCCATCACTACTATAAAAGGGCAATTATGAATTAGTTCTTTATTACTGTTATATTACGTGCATTCATAATATTAAAACGTAACAATAACATTGATGGATAAGTCAGGTGTAAAGGGAAATAATTTCTGGACGAATGTAAACGAAATTTGTTTTGTTAGGTTAGGATGACTCGGTGGCGTAGTAGTTAATCTTAAGATCCGGGGGTCATGGGATCGGTTCCCACACGGTACAGATATTTGTGTCAGTCAAGAGTTATTTTCTGTCGTAAACCTAGCCAATGCCATCAAGGTGGGTGGGATAAGGGCAGGAAAAGGAAAGATGTAAATCAGTTTGGTGTAGGAAATATTATTTTGAGAACTAGAGAGCCAATCGAGCAGTCCCTTCCCCTGATTTCAAGTAATTACCTCCGCCCGCTTCACAACACCCTTTAATTGCCAACATGTTAGAGCTCATCTACCTTACTTACCAGACGGAATGCAAAAGTAAAATACTCCTCCATTTATTTGGTCTTCTATGGAGCTCGGGGTATTTCCCGGGCGAGCCAACAATTCGTGCAGCAGCAAATTCCACACGGGCTACCACAGTCAAAGTTAGTGCACTCTCTATTAGAGTTTGGAACTTATAGAGTAGTATGTAAAGTATCGTTATAGTGAGGAAGGAATAATGCAGCGAAAAGTGAGCGGAGAAGAAGATACTCGTAGGACTGCATATAGATTCGAGCAGTAGGCTTAAAACAGATATAAAGTAAAGGCTGTTACAGCCTATGCATGTCCCACTGCTGGGCAAATGCCTTCTCTGTACAGAGGGTATCAGGGCATAGTCCACCACGCGGCCCCACTGCGGATTGACGGACTTCACATATCTTCGAAATATATTTTTTTTATTATTATTTCGAAAATATGCAGGTTTCCTCGTGATATTTTCCTTTACTGGTGAGCACGTGATAATTCAGCACCTAAAATTAATAATTTCATTGGTACCGGCACCGGGGATCGAACTCAGGATGTTTGAGCATATTGAATTAAAGGCGAGCGGACACTGGGCTATCAGAGTATTACGTGGCACTATTAAACTTGTTTAAATCTTTAATTCCAAGTTTCCAAATCTCCGGGCATCTCATCCGAATCAAAGCAAAATCGAGCGATCGACGAAGATGACAAAAACGAAAAGGGCATAGAGATAATAGACGCCAAAATACCTCAAAACAAACCCTACCTCGAAGAGCTCAAGAGGTTCCTTAAAAGCAAAGAATCAAATAGATTGAGGAATTTGACTTCGCTGAATCCGATGTGTTTGTATAAAATGGCAAAGAAGAACTTTATAAGCGAAGAGGTTTCCTACACGGGTCTACTTTCGAAGTCGGAGTTGGACGAAATCAAAGAGATGATCCTGAAGAAAACCACTTCCAGCGTCCACGGCATCAGCAGAAGGAAGCTAAGACCAGGAAGAGATACTGGAATAGACGTCGAAAGGATGGGGGATAGAGAGGACTCTATCATCGATGAGATACTCAAATTTATGTAATCTTTATAATAAGCATCAACGAAAAACTAAAGTTTCAAAAGGCTTGTGAAGATATAAGCGAACCTATTTAACGGAGACAAGTTTAATAAACAATATTAATCTGTGCGAACGTTTATTTCACAAATTTTATTAACAAGATTATTTTATTTAACAATTGAAAATATCTTCAAGGGTTCCGGTATTATTATCCGTTTGTAAAATGTTGCACCAATCGAGTAAGTAATAACCAAGACGTTGTTGGCAAAAACGGGATTTAGACTAACAATAGTATTTCATATATTTTTAACAAACACTCTCGGCTTAGGTGATTTTCATCCTGGTTTGCGTCATTTGCCATTTTCACTTATTTCCGGATTCTGCGCAGGGTCTAGGCCTAGTTTCTTCATTTCCACCGCCATCTCGAATAAGTAATCGTAGCATTCCGTCCTGGAAGATAAAAAGTTAATAGAGAAGTTAATAAGAAGATGGTAAGGGGATTGGAAATTAAGTAAGATAAATAATCTCTATTTCCCGCTAGTGAAGTGGATTTTGTTTAAAGCCGGTCTTTCATAAGCCTTATAATATTTTCCATTACAGCCGTGAAAGTAACACGATAGAATCGGTAAATTATCGGGAAATTATTTTCTTCATCCGACGCAGCTTCTCATCACTGGTGGAAAGGAAGCTTAAAATTATTGGTGAATATGATTACTGATATTTCCTTGGGGAACAGATATGGCAACACATCTATGTCGCCATATTTGTTCACATCTGTGAAAACTAGTTTTTGCAAATAAAAATCAAATGCAGATATTGTTTCGATGTAAAACGATGATACTACACATTTTGTGAATAAAGTTTGTGAAGTATTATAATATATGAGGTTAAAGAAATTTATTCCCAACAAGACAATACAATGCCACTTACATGAGAATATTATAATAATCATAAAATAATGTTATGGTCGCCAAACATTTAACAGCTTTATGTCTCAAACCGAAGGGCGAAAAGCTATCAAGTATGTATTGAGATAATTGAGACTTAAAACTGTTAAATGCGGTTATTTTTTTTTATATGAGTAGGTAGTCTATTGTATAGTTGAGCTCCTTCAAAGTTAATACTTTTTTTTTTTTGCATAATTTATTCTTACTTTTGGTAAAACAAGTAAGCTAGGACGACGAAGGCTGCGTTCGCTTATTTGCGATTTTTATATACAAAACACTAGTTGCGTACAAATTGGGCTTGAACTAAAGATCTCTCTGACTCACATGGTCTTCGCCTGCTGCCAGGTTTCGCCCCACACGTAAACACCGTGCCTACGCACTAGGACGGCGCTAGTGCCTGGATAGTTGCGAACGGCCTCGCCCAAACTGCCCGCCAGATCCCTCTCGAACGGTGTGTTCTCTATAATCGGCACGACGAGTCTCTCGTCGTATCGCATGTAGCGGCCTAGATGGGCATCTTTCACGCCCTGTGCAACTACGGCGATTAGCCAACTCAAACTATTCCCTTCAATCATTAAATCCATACTTAATATTGTAAATGCGAAAGTAACTCTGTCTGTCTGTCCGTCTCGCTTTAACTACAAAACTGTTGAACCGATTTAATTGAAATTTGGTAGTTGAAAATATGTTTCCAAAATATATATGTATATTTTTAAAGAAAGATATTTATTTAAGGGCTTCAACGCGAGCGAAGCCGCGGGCGAAAAGCTAGTAACTAATATAATCTTGAAATATGGATTTTTTTCATGGGAGTTTTAATAATGCGGCAAATGGCCAACAGTATTATTTATGTTATTCACTATTGAGCGTTTGCCCGTTATTTTGATCCCGTTGATCCAGAAACGAAATTAAAATGAATATAAAATTTCATTATAGGCATATCAATTGTAAATATTTTTGAAAGTATTTATGTTAATTTTGAACCTTGCACGATACCTAAATGTAATAACACAAAAATCTAATTGAATATTCTTGTTTTTCAACCGTGTCATTTTCATTGCCCATAAGAGACAAACTGAGAGACAGAAAAAATTCTAACAGCGGGACATTTAATAATACGCATTGTATAAATTGCGAATGGCCAGGTCGTTTGCTACCATACTACTCCGTGGCTAAGTTACCAAGACTTCGGCGTCGGGGCTCCTGTGTTCGATCCCCACACGGAACAACTATTTGTGTGACCCACGGGATAGTTGTTTCGCATCTGGGTCGTAGTTTGTCCGCGTGAAATTTATATTTGTAAAACTTCCTTGCAACACAGGTAACAGGATAATAAGGTTATCCTAAAGTTAAGGGCTAGGGTTATCCTAAAGTTGAGGGTTAAATGAAAAAAAAAAAAAAAAAAAAAAAAAAAAAAACCCCTTCCCACCTTGATCATCTCCTGGTGGGTGATGACGAACTCCTTGTCGTAGAGTAGCGTGCAGCGTACTGCGTGCGGTGAGTGCGTGTGAATTACCGCGCCGGCGTTTCGCTCGCGATAAGCCAGCATGAACAGAGGGGTGCACTGGCTTTTCTTAAGCCTGGAACCGTTAAGCCACCTCAATATATGATGATATTACCTAGAACAGTTAAGCAACCTCCAGATATGATAATATTACCTAGAACAGTTGAGCCACCTCAAGATATGATGATATTACCTAGAACAGTTAAGCAACCTCCAGATATGATAATATTACCTAGAACAGTTGAGCCACCTCAAGATATGATGATATTACCTAGAACAGTTAAGCAACCTCCAGATATGATAATATTACCTAGAACAGTTGAGCCACCTCAAGATATGATGATATTACCTAGAACAGTTAAGCAACCTCCAGATATGATAATATTACCTAGAACAGTTGAGCCACCTCAAGATATGATGATATTACCTAGAACAGTTAAGCAACCTCCAGATATGATGATATTACCTAGAAAAGTTAAGAAACCTCAAGATATGATAACATCACCGTACCGTAACTGTGGTAGCCACGCAACACTCTTGGCTGTTGCACGAATGGGCAGGTCCGTTCGGGTCGTACCACGATGTGGCAGAAGACGGACGTGAAGTGTGTTACACTCCTGCGTTTCGTCTAGTGAGTGAGGTGACCGAAGTTTTTTTATTAAAAGGTAACGCATCTGCAATCGTACGTGTTGCAAATGTTGGGCGGCGGTTATCACTTAACATCAGGTGAACAAACAGCTCGCTTGGCACGTTCTCACATAAAAGAAACGATATATAAGCCATCTGTCGATTTAGCTACGCAAAATATTATCCCCGTGACACCCATGCGGCGGATTCAGCGCTTCCGTGAATGGTATATAAAGGTTTTGCATGTTACATGGGTTTCATCGGGGGCTACGTAGTTCACCAGATCTAGGGATTGAATGACAACAATAAACCTAGGTCGCAGTGTTCATTGGGGCTCACTACCCAACCCCTTCCGCACAATCACTCACAGGAATACATACGCCGGGTATAAGAAGACAGGACGAAAATAGTTGCGCAATAACTCCATGTGAACTATTCACAACGATAATTTTAAACTGCGAAAATGTGAACGAAATCAAAATGATCAAATCACACAATGATTTAATAAAAATACATTACGCGTTATAAGTGTATGGAATGGTTTTATTTTGGAATTATTTTGATGCATTCACCGATGGCAGCGCCATCTGTGCTTTCCTTCAATGGTGATCACACCAAACTATTGCAATTCCGCTGAGTGTTATACCAGTACGAATGGCCGTGGAAGTAGAAGAACCTCACAGGATTCCAACGTGAGCAAACTATCGCATATACTATCGCGTTTCGTCTGGTGAGAGAGTTAATAAGGGCCCACTTTGTTTAAGGTTGGCAACGCATCGGAAACCTGCTGTTACAATTCCTACACACGATTTCTTATCCCGTGCGGGAATCGAACCCAAGAACTACTCAACTGGTCAACTGCGACACTAGTCATCAAGCAGACATGTAAGTTGCACTTACAAAGTACTTATATCAACGTAGAAACTGACTCGGGTGATATAAGTACTTTGAAAGTCTTTAATAAAGATTGCCATGTAACTGGTAAATTGATATTTATGAAGTGTCAAAGATAGTTATGCAAATAATTTATTAGCTGTGGTAAGACACGCAGCAGCCTCGGCTGTTGCACGAATGGGCAGGCCCGTCCGGGTAAGTACCGCGACCTCACAGAAGGCCGGCGTAAAGTCGAAGTATAATACTTTCGCGTTTCGTCTGGTGAGCGAGGTAGCCGGTGCACAATTTTCAAAAGGTTTTCAATGCATCTGGAACCATCTGGTGTAACAGATGTTCATGGGTTTGACTTAACATCAGGAAACGCCTGCTCCATTGACAACTTTTCAAATAAAAAAAAAATTTCTAGCATTGGGTAACATACTTTTTCTCTGGTGGAGGCAGTTCCAAGTCCTCATCATCAATTGTCTGAACGAATAAGTCGTCCGGTTTCATCCGCTCTTTTTGAACTCCGGAGGGAGCAATGTAGATTTTTTTACTAGAAATAAAAAAAATGCTAATGACTAAATGGAGATTAAAGACAAATGGGATAAAAATTAAAATTAAAAATTAAATTAATTACTAACATTTTTTTGACTCTTTCCTAAATTCTCTTTTTTGTTATAATTTTAAACAAAATTCTTGTGTACAATACAAATTTCGATTATCTCCGTAACTATTATTACCCGTATAGATCAGAGTGAAGTAGAAGTGTTACACTTCTGCATTTCGTCTAAGTCGTAAAAGGGGTCAACGCATCTGCATGACTTAACATCAGGTGAACAGCCAGTTTGTTTGCCACTTTCTCACATAAAAAAAAAGAAATCTGCCCAAGTAATTGGAAATTTTGATTTTTGGATGTGGTTAAGATTTTAAAGTATTTCAGTGTGTTTTCCAGAAAAGACGCGATTTTTCAACAAAAAACAATTAAGTATGAATTGACAAATACCGCAATTTCGTACGTTTTTGAGGTACTTGCATAGTTGCTATTAATTATTAGCTGATTAATTATTACTGATAACTTGAAACATTTAGAGCATGGAGTATAGCTCTGTATACTCAACACTCTAAATGTTTCATAATATGAATGTTTTTGCCTCTACAAAGTGTCTGATGAAAAGCATTAAATTGGTGGTGCGGTAACATTTGGGTATAAGACAGTGGTGGTGCATTAATAAATACCATGGTTACTCGTAAAAGAGAAAATTCAAAGCAGTAGGATAAAAAATCATACACATTTGCTACTCTAGCGCCGTTCTGGTAGATTTTTGAAACATTATTTGTTACTTGCCACCTAAAACATTTTTAACTAATCCTCCCATTTCATATTTAAATACAGTTACATCATAATCTTTTCTTAGACTACCAAGCATATGGAAAATTGGCACATTTAACTACAATTATTTCCATTTGGTAATCAGTTTGCTTGATTGTAGTAATTTTAAAACAAGATTTACCACAGTTTTTTCATGGGGTCACAGAATAAAATTAATTTAAAATGTGGGACATAGCATTGGTTATATTTGTTATATAACATGTTATTTACTCTGTGTTTAATATTGTAAATAATTTGTGATAAAGTTATATTGTTAAAAATTTTCTCATTAATTATACAGAATTTGGATTAAATGTATAGAGAATCACCCGTCTTTTATGGAAATGCCACCTCCTGTTCCTGTCACCCATCCCAGATGATAGAATTGCTGGCACAGCTCTGGTATCAGGTTCCTAGGATGTTCCTGAAAACAACATTATGAATTTTATCAGTAAATAATGAATAGATCATTGTTGTTAATTTAAGCTTTTTTTTACATAAATAATTAATGTCCAACATACTGGAACATTTATATGACTAAAAGAGTTTACATTTAGTTACTAAAAAAAGGTTCAATGGAATTATTTTAGCATGTTTTGAGCTAAATGTTATAAAGTATATAGAAAAAAGGTTAAAGTTAATAACTTTGTTAAGCCTTCTCTGACACATAAAACTGGAAACACAAAGAATCCAGAACATTTAAAAAAAAGTTGGTGGTATATGCAAAAATGATTTTAAAACTTACAATTTTTATAGGACTTTCATAGTTCTATAAAAAATTAGTAGGGTAACAAATCTGGACCAACCGTTTACCTCTGTACTTTTTGTATGTAAAAAGTTTATTAGGATTATTAATTCTGAGTGGCTAAGTCCAAATTCATAATCAATATAGAGAAATAGAGTGCAAATATTTATAGGGTCCACTTTACCATTACATTAACTTAAATTTAAGTATTTAAATAACTTTAAATTATAATTAACAAAATTCACTTACTGGACCTAGTTCTAACGCCATTTATACAACGTATGGTACGACTGTAGTGATAAGAATAAAAGAAAAGTTCTTATCAGTGGATGCTGCGAATGATCTCTTCTATTCTGTTATCTATTTGTTTGTATAAACTTTAAATACTCATTAAAAACTTCTTAACTAACAATTTGTGACCAAATTTAACTATCCGTATGATTTAGTACTTGAATAAAATAATATAAAATATGTTTAAATATTATGACTTCAAATTTATGAAGATCTTAGAATTAATATTTTGGTTCTTATCAAAATATATCAACCAAACCAGAAGACTTGTTTTATTTTGATTTGTTTCTGTTACGTCTAAGCTGTCACAATATTTATCTTTTTATATAAGTTTAACTAACGGCTTGTGATTTCTCCATACAGCCTTTCAAAATGTTCATTCTTAATAATTTTGACAGTGTGACAACTTCGAATGTTTAAGGAGTTCGTTTGAGTTAGAATAGTAGAAGTAGAATAGTATTAGTAGAATAATATTATAACCTATAATTAACAACATCGTCAATATGCATTTTCTTAAAAATATAAATTTTTAGTACATCAAATTTTCATTGGTTAATCAAATTCGATCAAATTACTTGATTTTTTCTTCTTTGTAGCGGCCGGGCGTAATGCCCGGTTATGACTATGATCAAAATAAGTTTTTTTTGTTTAATAAATTATCACTTTTGAGTTTTGTTCAACATCGCTGCTAGAGTAACTTGATACTTCATAATTGTTTTGACATAACAAAATTGAAAAAGAAGTCTATTTTGTCACTTTAAAAAAATTATAATAGGTATAAAATTTAAAGTATAAAGTCATAAAAACAGTGGAACTTAGAAAGCAAAACCTTGTTTTGATTATATAACATATAATTTTATACAGTGGCTAACCATTATCAAGTGGTGAGTTAAAAACTAGATTAAGCTCAGTCAATTTATCGTATTCTTAATCATAGAAAAAAACCTTATTCTAACTAAATTAATTGTAACTTTCTTAGTTTGCACCGAATCTATATAGAAAATGTTCTTGTTTTCTTAGTTTGCACCGAAGGTAAAATTTAAAAAAATGCAATTTTCCGTTATCTCATCAACTATCAATAATCATAGTAGGTCACCTGTCATATTATTTTTGGATGCTTCTAAGGAAGCCATTTTTGCACTAAATATGGAAGAGTTTATTGTATTTTTTGTTTCAACTCGCATAGCTTAAGAAATGAAGGAAGTTCCGGTTTGTCTTCAACGTCGCTATTATGCACTTGACAATCTTATAAATGAACTGAGCTCTGCAGCTGAAAATCACAATCTGGTCGAGGAATGCGTCTGTGGATGCCACACAGACCGCGGCATTAAGCTAATGCGTGATTTTTGGAACATTCTGAAAGACGATCCTGACTGCGATCTGACCGTAATATAAATATTTCTTATGGCGTTGTGTAAAAATAATAAGTTCGCTCTATGTACCTAGGATTGGATAGTCCTTAATTTCCAAACTGCCTGACGATAAATTTTAATCTTAAGTGTTAAATGCTCTCACCGCAAGGATCATAACGACACAAGACATAGTAGCTTATAGTATTGTTTATGATTATAGACAATAATATAAGCTACTATGTCTTGACGATTACTAGACGATTGTCTATTATTATAGATAATCGCTGTTTATGTAATTAATGAAACAGTTGTAGATGTAAGAAGAAAACCAAATACTTACATCTTACTCCAGTCTTGGCATATGACCCAAATTAGAACACTAAACTGTAGAGTATGCTCAAAATAGATTTTTCTTTATGTCTTTATATCTTCAATTTTGCCAGCTCAATTTTCTAACGTTGGGCTGTAAAAATCGACAATATGAAACATATGCATGTATGTTACATATTTGATGACCGCTTCTGCTTCACGAGGATGTGGCTCTTCGTAATTTGGTATACATAAATGAATCTCTTATGACGCGTGATCTTAAGTGAAAAAACCATTGCTTGTTCTATAATCTACCTTTTTCTACAATTACCATCAATGGCATTTTATGTGAGAAGATGGCAAGCATGTTGGCAGTTCCTCTTTTAAGTGATAGCCGCCACCCATGGACATTTGCAATATCCTTTTGCACATTTTCATAAAGTGGGTTCCGGCTACCTCCCTCACCAAACGAAAAGCAGAAATATAAATAACACTTCCACTTCACGCCGGTCTTCTGTGAAGTCGCGGTACATCCCTGGACGGGTCTGCTCATCCTGCTCAGGGAACTGTTGCGTCGCACTACCACAGTGAAAGCACAATGATTATGACGATAATCTATGAGTTCTGTGTTTTACTGAGATCTTAATGGCATAAGGATAGTAATACACAGAATTAGCAATACTCAGCAGTATTAAAGAATGTAAAGTTAATCTGTTCATTTGTTTTTAATAAACGTGAATCTTGTAGCATCTGATATTATATAGTGTTGATAGTCTCATCTTTATCAAGGGCCAGCTTTAATGTTATTTAATTCTCACGATCAGCAAGCGGTTGAACAAAGAATGGATGCGAAAGAAGTCGAGAGCAAATCGGGTGTTCTAGGGCGGACACCGTGCACTCCATGCTATATGGCCAGCGGTTGCTCTCACAAGCCGGACGAAGGTAGACAAAAGAAGTGGTAAGGAATAAAGTATTACGAAGGCAGACTGGGGTATTACAATTAGACCTCGTATAACTTCGCAAATGTAAATCCTCAGTGACTTCTCCGTCGTTCTCGACTTATGAGCGAAATTATTTCATGTCATTTGCGACAAGTCTTAAACTTGGAAAGCTAGATTTGGCATTAGGGTTCTAACTAGGGTTTTTTTGACTTCTTATTTTTATTTATATATTTAAGTTTAATTGTCGTATTTTTTTGTGAAATCATGTTAAATGTTTAGATCTTTGAAAACGCGCCAAACTTAATTTTACGATCCACTTCTGCGTTGACCGACGTTACAGCTTGAATTCACTTAAAAATTTATTAAAAAATATCTTTAACTTCTTATGCCATTTTTATTTGAACAGTTGCCAAATTAAAGGGACCGACCTAGAGTCCACTAGCGCGAGTAGTGCAGCACATTCAACGGGCCCGTCGTGTAGCGGTGGCAGTCAAAATTTCCCTCAAAGCACTGTATTGTCTGATTTTAAAGAGGTAATTTCTTCTTCCAACTAATATACGTTGAGTCGTGTTGGCCTTGCTGTATTCATGGGGACATTATAAAAAAATTGTATGTCTTTCCTCATCATATTCACGTGAAGCCCGTGACCACACTAATAATTTCTACTAAGGGTATGTAGTCTCCACATACCATCAATAGATCTTATTAGTAACATTAGTATTATGTAATTAATGTAATAAATTCATTTTTCACAACGTATTTTCTACTTACTGCTTAGAAGTTAAGAGTTTTTGGGAGTCTCGGTAATAATGAATGTGTCATTAAATAACATCCGTAGGAAATTACAAACATCTAACGACCGAGATGTGCGACATTCGTTAAACACAGTTAAATTGAGGCTGTAGTTTCTGTAATAACCTAAGGGATTTGTAGCGAGAAAGTGAGCGGAGAAGTTGATAGGACTGCATATAGACTGCTTCACCGCTGAGCACGTGATAATTCAGCACTTAAAATTAACAATTTAATTGGTTCGATCCCCTTACCGGCACCGGGGATCGAACTCAGGTTGCTCGAGTATATGGGATTAAAAGCGAGCTGTCGGACAATGAGTTATCAAGGTTTTTTCTCAGATGGATGGTTGATACACGTACATGATACATACCGGCCTCAAGGTAATCACTGCTTTTAAACCTTGGTCTGTCGGGTAGCGCACTATGAAAAATGCGCTGTCTGTCGGTGAAAAACAGTCGCGCAATTTTGCAACTGCGTCTTTCTTCGGAACAATATTTGTAGTGAAAACCATAATCTATATGATTCAGGTTTATTTTAAAGCTATATGGATGGCTTAACTTTACAGTTATTACATTTTTGCCTTTGTAGAATGTTTGTATTGTTTACTAGAAGCAATTCTTACTATAAGCTATCAATAAATACGACATACTAAAGAAAAATATCAATAAGTAATTCATGAGAAACGTTTTATTTTTTTATGTCCATGTTATGAAAACAGAATACATGTTGTTTTGAATAAATATAAATGAAATGTGTATTTCTTTGATAAAACTTAAGAAATTTGAGTATAAACATCATAACTTATTGGTGCGTTAGTATCGCAGATTTACGTTCCGAAACAACAGTCTGAACACAGATCTACGTTCCGACACTGACAATATGACTATAGAGGATGTTTAAATTTTCAAGTAAGTTTCTTTCCTACTTCCAATAAACAAAAAACACACTACAACAACAAACACAACGAACATACAAAAATTTAAAGTAAATTTTTTATTGTGCTATTCTTGGCTAAGTGCCGAGAATAGCACAATAAAATATTTACTTTAAAGACGAAACATTAAAATTTGTAGTAAAAAAGATTTTATATAATGACTCCTTGCCAAGATATTGGCTTCGGCGTCGGGGGTTGTGGGTTCGATTCCCACACGGGACAACTATTTGTGTGACCCACAGATAGTTGTTTCGCATCTGGGTGTTTGTCCGCGTGAAATTTATGTTTGTAAAACGTCCTTACAACACAGGATCAACTAAAAAAAATCTTTTGCGCAATTTTGCGCTCTCTACATCTGCTCGGGGCAAACGGAGCAGGCAACATAAGGCCACCCCTTCCTCGCATGCCGTGGACTTTTGCAACATAAGGGGGCTAAATTCCAACTTTAACGCCGTCCACTTCCATCTTGAGACGGCGAAGCCGGCCTTGCTCTTCCTTACCGAGACGCAGATATCTTCACCTGACACCTCATTCCTCCTCCTGGGCTGGGGTGTGCGTGTACGTCAGAGAGGTTATATGCTCTTGTCGCCTCGACACTCTTTTTGTCCTACCCATGGGGGCAGATTTGCTTCTCGCCGGATGACCCAGACGTCGTTGCTGACTCAGTGACTGATGTGGTGCTTCAAGGTATGGAACTCTTTATTCCGTTCTCTGCAGTGCCCATTGGTGGCAAGTCGCAGCCTTGGTTTGGTCGCTCCTGTATGTTGGCATTACGCCGAAAGCGGGATTGCTACCAGGCTTGGGCTGACGCTTCGACGTCAAGTGATGTAAAAACCAGCGCTTTAAAAAAGAAGTATAACTCTGCCTCTAGGTCCTTCAAAAGTGTTATTGCTAAGGCGAAATCGGAACACATTTGGCAGAATTGGCTAGAGATTGGCGCGTCTCCCAACGGAAACACGGGCGTTTTGGTCTCTCGCCAAAGCTGTCTTGGGAACTTTCTGTAAGCCTTCTTTTCCACCCCTGCACACGGAGGATGACTCGCTGGCCCATGCTGCGAAGGAGAAAGCCGATCTTCTGGGCTCTCTCTTCGCGTCCAACTCGACTTTGGATAACCGGAAAATTACCACCAACAATCCCGCGTTGCGATGCTACGATGCCGGAGGTTCAATTTCGGCAGTGCAGTTCGCAGAGCACTCTTTTCCTTGGACATTCATGAGTCGAGTGGGCCCGATGGCATCCCTCCGATTATGTTGAAGACATGTGCTCCAGAGTTGGCACCGGTTTTGACGCGTCTTCTCCGGATCTCCTATACTCTAGGCGTATTCCCGAAATCCTGGTAGGCCGCTTTAGTGCACCCGATCCCTAAGAAAGGCAACAGCTCGGATCCGTCCAACTACAAGTCTACAATAATAATAGAGACCATCATTAACTGCCAGCTCCTGCGGTACCTAGAGGAGCACCAGGTGATTAGCGACCGCCAGTACGGCTTTCGTCGAGGTCGCTCAGCCGGTGATATTCTAGTTTACCTGACACACAGATGGGCAGAAGCAGTTGAGAGCAAGGGGGAGGCGCTTGCAGCCAGTCTGGACATAGCGAAAGCCTTTGATCGGGTGTGGCACAAAGCATTTCTTTCGAAGCTGCCTTCCCATGGGCTTCCCGGGAAGTTATGCAAATGGATCACCAGCTTTTTGGCAGATCGGATCATCAAGATCGTCGTTGACGGTGCATGCTCTGATCCTAAATTTGTCAATGCTGGTGTTCCACAAGGCTGCGTACTGTCTCCCACTTTGTTTCTTCTGCATATCAATGATATGATGCAAATCAGCAGTGTTCATTGCTATGCGGATGATAGAACTGTGGATATGTCGTACACTGGCCGTGCTAACATTTCTCGGGAAAACGTCTATGAGAGCCGGAACAAACTTGTGTCTGAAGTCGAGACTTTGTTAACAAAAGTCTCAGACTGGGGTCGACTAAACTTAGTCCAATTCAACCCCAATAAGACACAAGTTTGCGCGTTAACCCCTAAAAAGTCCCCATTTGTCGTGACTCCTCATTTTGAGAACACTCCCCTGTCTGCCACAGCTAGTATCGGAATACTTGGCGTCAAAATCTCGAGCAATGTCCAGTTCCGCGGTCAATTGGAAAAAGGCCAAATTGGCCTCAAAAAAGCTCGGTGTGCTCAGCAAGGCGAGACAGTACTTCACGTCGGCTCAACGCCTAAACCTTAATAAGGCGCAAATTCGGCCCCACATGGAGTACTGCTCTCACCTCTGGGCTGGAGCCCCCTGTTAACAACTTCTTCCATTTGACCGCATCCAACGTAGGGCAGCTAGGGTTTCTGACGATCAAGGTCTTTCCGATCGGCTTGATCCTTTGGCTGTGCGTAGAGATGTTGGATCACTCTGCATCTTCTACCGCATCTATCACGGGGAGTGTTCCGAGGAATTGTTTGGATTGATCTCAGCGGCTGAATTTCACCATCGGACATCGCGCCAAAACCAAAAATTTCGCCCAAACCACCTCGATGTCCACATACGGACACAACAGCGTGATTTTCAAGGCATTTCTTGCCTCGCACAACCACTCTGTGGAACCAGCTGCCGCCGGCGGTCTTTCCGAACCGTTACGACGTGGGAACCTTCAAGAAGAGAGCGTACTCTTTCCTAAAAGGGCGGCAACGCATTTGTAAGCCCTCGGATGTTGCAGATGTCCATGGGCGGCGGTGACCACTTACCATCAGGTAAGCCTCCTGCTAGTTTGTTGCTTTTTTCCCATTAAAAAAAATAAAAAAAATTAAATTTCACACTGCAACGATCTATAAAAGGAACGGCGCTTTGGTGGACGCTCCATGGAGTGACTAGGCTCAAGGACCCTCGAGAGGGGATCTCAGCTTAGGCTGTCACTCAATACCCGTTTAGCTTTCCGATTCGAGGGTGCCGTAGAAGGCCAGACCTCGGCTCAATCTGTAGTTATTGTTTTATCCTGTCGATGGCAATAGTCGTCTCATCATCAGGAAAATCGAGGATGTGTCGTGGTCTGCGCCATTTGCGACGGAACGTACCTAGCGGTAAGGGTCTGTAGGTGACGGCACCTACGACATACGGATTGGCCCCGAAAATGGCTAGCGCTGTTCCTTTTATAGACTGTTGCAGTGTACCCTTCTATCTTCCAATCAAAATCAAAATCAAAATCAAAAATATATTTATTCAAATAGACGCTTGCGCGCTCTTATGAATCGTCAAATTTTACATCAAAGATTATGTGTATAGGTTCGTAAGGTACCACCGGTTCGGAAAGCGGTTTCTGTTGAGAAGAGACCGGCAAGAAACTCAACAGTTGCTCTTTTTCAAAAATATCAGGGTACAATATAATATACAGGTATAATAGTCTTATTCTAGCCTACGTGAGTATCAACAGTATTAACTCCACACATTGGCGTCGTCGAGATATTCCGAAATGGTATAATATGCTTTAATCATCAGTTGATTTTTAATTTTACATTTAAATTGGTCAAGCGGCAGACTTAATATCGACTGTGGGATTTTATTATACATGCGCACACTTTGCCCCATGAACGACTTATTTACTTTTTGTAGACGAAACAATGGCGTAGTAAGTTTGTCCTTATTTCTAGTGTTTATTTTATGTCTGTCACTATTCTTTAGGTAATAATTAAGGTTATGACGTATATACAAAACATTACAATAAATGTATTGACAAGCAACAGTGAGTATATTAACCTCTTTGAAAAGATCTCTGAGTGAATTCCGGGCTCCGATATTGTAGATTGCTCGGACAGCTCTTTTTTGAAGAATAAATATAGAATTTATATCTGATGCACTACCCCACAACAAAATGCCGTAAGGCAAGATGCTGTGAAAATAACTAAAGTAAACAAGTCTGGCAGTGTCGATGTCTGTTAGCTGCCTAACCCTTCTAATCGCAAAAACCGCGGAGCTCAGCCTATTCGCAAGAGATGATATATGGGGACTCCACTGGAGCTTTGAATCTACTGTAATTCCCAGAAATATCTGCTATATTTCTGGGAATGTTTACGTTATGTTGCTATACTCAACTGGATTAATGGGTACGTTACTTAATATTAAACTAAAACTTTTCCTTCTTATACTGGGAAGGGTAAAAAGAATACATCTGGTTCTTTTGGCATTTAATACCATATTATTAATAGTAAACCAGTGGAGGATATGTGAAAGTGCACTATTCACGTCGTCATAATTTAATACGTTTCGGTCAACTTTAAAAATAAGCGATGTATCGTCAGCAAACAGTACAACATCACACAACCCACTGGCATAAAAGGGGAGATCATTAATATATACTAAAAATAATAATGGGCCATTCCCAGTCTCCCATTATCATCTGGGACCCAGCGGAATTAACATCATTTATAGATACTTTTTGAATTCTATTACTAAGGTAAGAGGCAATGAGATTGAGGGCGATGCCACGAATGCCATAATATTCTTTTGAAGGAGAGTTTTATGGTCCACGCAGTCGAAGGCTTTTGAAAGGTCACAAAAGACACCTATTGCATCTTGTGACCTTTCCCAGGCGTTATAAATATGTTTGACAAGTGCGACGCCCGCATCTGTTGTCGATCTGCCTTTAGTGAATCCATATTGCTCATCGTGAAAGATTTTGTTCACATTAAAATGAACTAAAAGTTGACTTAATATTAGCTTTTCAAAAACTTTACTAAGAGATGGCAATATGGAAATAGGTCTATAGTTGCCTGGATCATTTTTATCACCACTTTTGTAGACAGGTATTATCTTACTAAATTTCATAAGATCTGGAAATATTCCAGAATCTATGCAGTTGTTAAAAATAGAAGCCAAATGTGGTGCAATATATGGCATTATTGTGCTCATTAATTTTATGGACATACCCCATAAAATCCTCTGTATTTTTAAGATTAATAGAATTCAAAACTTTTATAATATCATAAGTATCTACATGATTTAATTTAAATGTGTTTAGGCAAGGGGTAACATTATTTCTTAAAACATTAATTGCGTCTGCGGGAGATGATTTTAATGTACGTGTGACATTAACCGCAATGTCTGAAAAATAGCTTTCGAAACTACTCGCAATTTCGTTATCTGATATTATGGGAGTATTACCTATAACTACTTTTATAGGTTCCCTGAATATCTTGGTTCTTCCAGATATACGGGTAATGATGTCCCATGTGGCTTTAGTTCTATTGTTTGAATTTATTATGCTATTTCTTATATAAATAGATTTTGCCTGAATACAGACTTTTTTAAATATTTTTGAAAATGTTTGTACCCGTTTAAGGAAGTTAGGATCGTGATTCCACTGCCTCATACTATATAATTCATACAATGAATCCCTACTTTTGTATATACCCACTGTTGCCCCGTCACTAAATTTTAATTTTGAATTCTTAACAATTGTGCGCGATTTAAAAGTATCATTATAAGAAGATATGAGGAAGCCAACCATTGATCTATAAGAGTCATTAGGGTTATTGACTCCTATATCTTTATTTAACATATGATGTGCCACTTTATCTCTAAAAGCATTTATTCTATTAGTAGTGACTGGTCTACACTTGATCTTAAGTTTGCTTGTATTAGCTTTTTCATTTATTGAAAATTTTAGCCCAAAGTGATCCGAGCTCAGATGATTTATAACATATTTATCATATACATCACTGTGACAGAATACATTATCTATACATGAGGAGGATAAGTTAGTAACACGAGTTGGTTCATGAAAAAGATTTTTAAGTTCAAATGAGTTAAATAAATTTAAAAGTCGTTTACTGGGTTGTGTTACTTGTAATAAATCCACATTAAAATCTCCACAAACTATTAATGATTTACTACTTGAACATCGTTTTTTAAGAACATCATCCATTACACACTCAAACTGATCGAAATCACCTGAGGGGGGCCGGTATACGCATACTATAATATACTGTTGACTCTCAATGCAGGATAATTCAATAGAACGTTCGACAGAGTGTGCCACTATATCCTGTCGATTTTTACAGACTATATCAGTTCTAACTAATACAAGAGAGCCACCGCGAATAGCATTTACTCTTACGAACGAACTTAACAATTTATAATTTTCTATATTAACAATATTACAGTGCTTATGTAACCATGTCTCTGTGAAGCAGATGACATGTATATTAAATTTCCTAAGGAACAATTCAATTTCGGGTTCTTTGCCGCCTAAGTCTTGTATATTTTGATGCACAATATTTAATTTGAGTGGCCTAGGCGTTGTCTCAATGTTTAGTTTAAACTAACATAGTTTGCTGAAAGATTATTACATAATAAAATATTCTTAGTTGTACTATGTACAACTGGGTTTTGTATATTATATGCTACTAGAGTAGCAATTAGTTTCTTATAATATAGTGGCAAATACAAAGTATTTTTTGTCACCTTAAAACTAGATTTAATAAAATTATTTAAGTCAAAATAAAAGAAAGCGTCACTATGACGGTGAGTTATGTTATATATAGTCATGTTAAGACTATATATGTATTTATTTTGTTCCTCTGAAAGGAAAGAGGAATATGGAAATGAGCATAATATAAATTTGCACTTAGTTTTATAATGTAAGTTGAGTAATATTTCCATATTATTAACAATTTCCTGTTTCCTTACAGATGAACTATCCCCATGAAGTAGTACAATAGTACTATTCCCATTTAAATTTAATGTCAATAATTTGTTAATATTGTTATGAAAACTGGCACCTGGTGAACATATATTATATACATTATTTACATGTTTGGAAAGTAAAGAACCAATAATAGATTTTTGTTCGTTTTCATTAAAATAGGTAAATTAACACTTAGCGGATAAAATGTTCTCTACCTTATCTTTAAATTTTATAGCGATGGAGTAATTTCAAATCAATTAAAAAAAATGTAATGTTCAACCCGAGAACAAAAAAATGACTTTTATGAACTTCCTATATTTCCAAGTTTTTATACGTTACAATTTGAAAACGAAATTTCTGTGGAATGGAAAGTTTTTTCCAAATTTACATTTTATTTATAATATCTATATAGAATGAAAATGATGTGTAAGATAATTAGAATGTGTAATTCAAACTACGAAATATCAGTAGTCGAAAATGAAAGAGAGATGACGAAGGGATACATACATTTTATGTTCTTCGTATGTCGATAAATTCTTAGTAATATTGCAGTTTTCGATACGTTATCATTGTTTTATGTACTAAAAAATAAGAAAAGAAAAAATACTTACGGTTTTCGATATTTGTTTCACAAAAAACATTAATTCAAATATTTAAATGAAAACATGGAGATATTCGAAATAGTCGTGAAAGAATGAATAGGTTTTTACCAGTAATAATTCTTTTACCTATTATAGTACGGTTCATTCATTCCTTCGCTAATTTCTCGATCGAGTTTCACGGGAAAATTAACTCTATCTAGTCAGCAAATAGCTCATTATTAATCACAAACGATCTGGCGTAGATCTACGTTCCGACAGTCAACGGAAGCAAAATTTGGCGCGCAGATCTACGTTCCGACAAACCAAAGGTTAAGTGACCCATGGAAGGGCCTTTATCCATAGATTCTGTAGGTTCATGTCGCAACTTCTGCTGGTGTCCAAGTAGACAGGTTCGTCCGGGGAAGTACCAGGGTTTCAAAGAAAATTGGCGTAAAATGAAAGTATATGAATGGTTAAAAACGCGTGCAATCCGTCAAGTTTTGTTGATATTCATGGGCGGTGATAATCGTATCTCATGATGATGTGAACCGCCTGCCCACTTGCTAACTTTTCGCAAAGATAAAAAAATACTATAATAGGTAGCCTCATTCGACAAGAATTGTTCGGAGAAATTGAAAGATCTGATAGAAACTGAGAAGCAATTGAAAGAGGCCATTCAAAAGCTGGAACAGCGTGAGAAGAACAGTATGGAACTGCTGAAACAGGCTGATTGCATGTGGGTGTGTATGGAGGACTCTTACAAGAAGAAGATTTCCCAATCCACGGAGAGGCAAAAGACTCTAGAGAAACAGGTACAATTTTCCAGGCATTAAAAATATTACATAGTGTCTGTATATAATTTATTATAAATCTTAGTTGATAAATATTCAAACACTTTATTTTGAAAAAGACTAAACAGACAAATAAAATATGCGAAAAAATGCTATGATTCGATGTTTATGAAAAATAAAAACATAATAATGTAATCATTAGGAATCGATAGTTAGTTGATTATAAACTTAAGAAAAACGTAACAATGAAGTAATTGGTTACAAAGTAAGCTAATATTTGAAAAAAAAGTTGTCACACTCTTAATCGTAACATACATTATTCGATAACGCTCGTTCAGTTTCGAATCTCGACTGCATCCATGAGCACCGAGATCTTAATAATGAGCTTCCTCGTAGAATATTGAGCCTAAATAATCATCATCATCATTTTAGAGTCCACCGCTGACTATAGGCCTCCCCCACCAACTGCCACGAAGCACGATCTTGGGCTATCTGCATCCATCGTCTTCCCGCACACTTGCACAGGTCGTCCCTCTATCTACTGGACATCCTACACGCTAAGAGTTTAATAAAATTTGTCATTTTAGTTGAGAGATTTAGAGGCGAGTACAAAAAAGTGGCGTAAGAATATGAAGGATCTAGAATCGGAATTCACCAAAGTAAATAAAACCCACCAAGAATTTAAAGTAAGGATAATTCAGAAAAATAGCGATATCAAATGTATTGATTTGGAAATAGTAGATATACAAAAAAGACTTGACAAAACTAAAAAGGAGGTTGAATCAAATAAGAAATCCATTGTAAAAAAGAAGGAAGCTTCAGATGTAAGTTTGTGCCTACGCCAATCTTTACTTTTCTTTTATATTTTTTTAAATAATTTTTTCAATAATAAACAAATTAATGTTTTCATAGTAGTTATGAAACGGATTATTTCCTGTTAGTCGAAGAAATTTATAGTGGGATAATTTGGATCTTCATATCTTTGTTACCTTAATTTTACCATAATCTTATAGAAAAAAGTGGTTAGCTTAGCTGAAGAAGTAAAGGAATTGGAAAAGATCGTCGCAGAAGAGAACAAGAAGAAAAGGGAAAAGGAGCTCGAAGGTACAAAATTTATCAAAGAGGCAAGGAAGGATTTACAGACAATCTGCGGACTTTTATTAAAGAAGAAATTAGAAAATGAAGACCTAAAAGCAGAGGTACGATTCATATGGAATATTTTGTAAATTTGAACAACTTACTCTTTCTTGAACTCTACGGTTATGAGAGTGTCAGTCGTTCAAATAAGCACAAATTCACTGTCACCTTTTCCTGTTTTATGTTCTGTATTCGTTCTACAATAACCAACATCAATTAATTAGTTTGTAATAAAAAAAAATTCTTCCCTTACGAAAAAGCCAGCTGTTGTTAGCCCGTTTCATCACGTTTATGTAGTGACACGTTTCACATTACAGAAAACGGCTTTGCTATCGGAGATCGAAGCATTGCAGCAGGCCCGCGAGAAATGCAAGGAAAAATGCGAAACGAAGCGGAAAACGTTGGAGAGTGAAATCGAGAAAGTCAACAAGGAGATTGCCGAGTGCCAAGCGCGATGCAGCAGATGCAACGAATGCACCGATACATCGGAATTTCTGAGATTCTGCACCGACTGCCCTCGGTGCTTGGAAGAGAGGCGTTGCACGATCGAAGGGGGCCATTGCACCGCGAATCAGTCGATGGACTGCGTTTGCACGGCCGTCAAGAAGAAGTTCCTGGACAACGTGTTCGAGAACATGTACACGGTAATGGAGAGGCTGATCAAGAAGGGCAGCGGTAAGGTCGTCGCCGATAAAGTGTTGGAATGCCTGAAAAACAGCAGGAACGGCAAGCTCGACGAGCGGACCCGGAAAGCCCTTCAAGCTTTCATATTGACGGGCGTTAAGAAACATCTGAATTTGACTATTGTCGGCGGCGCTGTCAAGACTAGGTGTGAAGTAAGTATAAATGTAGGATTTATAAGATGATTAAATCTTTCATAAAATTTTGGTTTGCACTCAAATATAGCTAGTCATTAGAGACATGACAGAGAATATTAGAAATTAAAATTTTAAAGTGCTAATCTCTGAACTTAAGTCTCTCTGCACATAAAATTTTTTATGTATCAATCTTAAGGGCAGAAATTAGCACTATAAAAATTTAAATAGTTTATAAACGTTAATATGTTTATATATTTCCACTTTAAATTTAGATGGAGCCGGAAACGTATAAGCAATTAATGAATTGTCTTCAGAAGATTCAAGTTAAAAAACCGGTTAAAGTAGACAAGGGTACTGCTTCCAAAAAGGTAAAACTCCGTATGTTTTGTTACTTTGTGTTTGAGTATAATTAGTTCCTTGATTTGTTATTGTAATTTTGCCGAAACTATTTATTCATGGCGTGTGATATTTACTTACTATACTAATACACCATACTCCGCTATGAGCTGTATCGAATGTCAATTTTCTAGATTCTACTAATCTAGAAAATTGACATTTTTCATTGAAACCTTTATTACAAAAAAACTAATATGGAAAACTTCACAAAATAATTCTTTGTGAAATACAATTAAATATAACGTTAATAAAATGAAATTATTAATGCAATTATTAGAACTTTCTTGAGACATTATTAACGTGATAATAACACTGCTGAACTCACGTTAAACCGGTGTATGTACCGATTAGTTGCGGACCTTATAGAAGGTCCTTCATCAGGTTGAGTGGGATTAGTTAAAGGAATAAAAGTAATAATAGTCCATTTTTATGAGTCTTGCACGCAACATTAGATCACCATTAGGACTATATAACTTACCTATACATTTGATGGCCCCGTGGCGTAGTTGCCAAGGTATTGGCTTTAGCGTCGGGGTTCGTGGGTTCCATTCCCACATGGGACAACTATTTGTGTGATCCACGGACAGTTGTCGCATCTGGGTGTTTGACCACGTGAAATTTACGTTTGTAAAACGTCCTTACAACACTGGATAATGTTATCCTTAAATAAGGGCAATGTTTTGAAAGAAAAATACATCGCACCATAGGAACCTTGCCGCCGCTGGGGCGGTACCAACGAATGCCACTGTCCGAAAGGCCCCAAGGCTTGCATATGCCTGAAAAAAGCACCGCGACCACCGCACGACGCAACACCATGTCCCGAGGATGAGGAAGACGAAGAGGAAGAGGTTATTAAACTTGGGTTATTAAACTTGGGACAAGGTTATTAAACTTGGGTTATTAAACACTGGAAGAGGTTATTAAACTGTAAATCTTTGTGGAGGAATGAACAAACTTTCCGCGCTGCGGGATTCGAGCCTACGTCTTCCGGTTTCGCGTCCAGACGCTTTACCAACTTAGCTAAGCGGCCGACGAGCTCATGGGGCCAAAATCTCATCTTCTAGCTAAGTTCGTTCTACTGCGTTGTTAGCAATGCGCGTCTAGTGTGTCTAGTCTGCATCCTTTGCAGCATAATTTTAAGTTATCTGATCAAACCGTGATTGATTGCATTTACTGTCTGATAGGGACTCGGGGGTATTTCTAGGTCTATACATTCACCTAATTAAGTGATCACCGATGTCAATGGCGACGATATGGAAAATTGCAACGAAATTTTTTTAATGACCACCCGAATGTCGTAATGGGTAGTGTAAATGCCTCCTGCGCCAGAGGGTGTGCGTTCGATCCCCACTGCTGGAAAAATTTTGTGCCATGAACATAGTGTTTTTCTAGTGTCTGGGTGTTTATATACGAGTATGCATAATATGTATTTATTTACAAAAGAAAAGTATGTTTATCAGTTATCTAGTACCCATAGTACAATCGTTGCTTAGTTTGGGATTAGAGAACGTTCTGTAAAAATGTGTCCCATAATGTTTATTTATTTAATGTGGCTTTCTTGCTTAGCCACAAGACGCGTGTCACAAACACGCGTCACGCCACAACAGGGAGAAAGAAAATTCTAAGAAGTCGAGTGCATCTAATCTGACAAGTTGCGATTGCAAATTGAGTCCATCTGATAGACATAATCTGATAAGTTGCAATTGCAAAACGAGCGGCGCTGAATTGCCGGACTTAGGTGCAGAACTGGCGAAATTTAGGCCCGAATCGTGCCAGGGTCCGAAGTGTAAGTTCTCGAAGGACATGAGAACGGCACCATGCGTCGTCCACTCGGATGAGTCGGCCACACAACGGACTAAGGACTGCGCATTCGTCCCAGTTAAATTGGCATCCAGTCTGAAGGACCAGGTACGGCTGTTTGAGAAATCAAGCACAGTTTATTTTATTTTTTTATGTGAAAAGTTGCCAAGCGAGCAGACGGTTCATCTGATGTTAAGTGAATACCGCCGCACATGGGCATCTGCTACACCCGAGGCTTCCAGATGCGTTGACAACTAGTTGAAAATTGGGCTCCAGCCACCTTACTCACCAGATGGAACGCGAAAGCATTATACTTCCACTTTACGCTGGTCTTCTGTGATGTCGTGGTACTTACCCGGAAAAGTCTGCCCATTCGTGCAACAGCCGAGGCTGCTGACAAGGTGGTAGGGCCACGCAAACCTTGGCAAACCTTATTGTTAGAATGCATTTCATATGAAATTATTCTTACGTAATCATGTAATATGGTTATTGAATGACTCAAAGTTATTTTATTTGTACTGAATAATTAATAATTTTACGTGGTAAACGTTTCTACGTGGATTGCTTGATGTATATAGATCTAAATTTATAAATTGTGATTTGTTTTCACTTACACAAGATCAATTTAAAAGATAAGAATTACGCTAGAAATCGACTTACTCTTTTAATTTTATTGTACTTAATATTATTTTGCGGATATTATGTTGGATATAAGTTACATAGAATTTCAAATCGTTTTACTAAACTATGTTTTACGTATAATTGTTCGTGTATAATTGTTTTATGTCCCAATAAATATTAAAAAAAAAAATAGTTAATTGAGTAGGAAATGTAAAAAAACGATTCTGGTAAAGCTAACTCCATTTTATTTTCAGGAATTTTGTGATTGTGTATTACCGGGAGGTTATTCTGGAACCGATGCAGGTATTTAGTATGAATTTTACATAAATCTAAATACGATCTTTTGGCGGTGAAGGCAGTCGAGTCGATCATTATTCGGTAAAATATATATTGTGAAAAAAAAAATTAATATAAATTCCTTAACTTTAATTAACGTATATCATATTTTTTCAAATCCGTTTACGTATATGTCATAAGATTTTGATGCTTGAGAGAAGTATCACTTATACCAATCTATGTATATAAATCCTTACGAAAAACTATGTTCATGTTATCAACCAACAAACAAATTTGTCCATATCGTGCATAATACTGTATTGTTTTTGTGCTTTCGATAGTATTCAATATATTTTTCTAGTCGTATTTCAGTATAAGTACAATCCTATCATATTGATAGGAGTATCTGATGCATTGGAGAAAGCTCTCTGTTAAATCAAACTCATTTATTGACATCTAGTGATCGAAAAGACTTTTTTATCCAATTCGGTAATAACTCGCATTGGCAGTTGGTACCATTTATCTTCTAAAATTACATATGGCGTATGGCTGGCTCAAAACTGAGTAAAATTCATTACTTAATAAATAACATACATCTTCGGCGTTATCTGCGGAAAGGAACAAGCCGTATAGTGCTTTAATATGTTACTGGGAATTATTATAACATATGGTCGTATGTTCAAAATTAACTAAAACGTACATATGTATAAAGTAATATCAAATTTTTATTTCTCGCGAAGTTTATTTCCTGAAAATTATCAATTTTCTTCTCTGGATGCATCTCTTCGACTCCCTTCACATCCCTAATAATGAACAATTTTGGTATTTTAATATGGGAGTGCAAAATATTTGACATCTAATGAAATCAATATTATGTTACCTTAGGTAGCCGTCCCCGCGAGCTTCTTATAGAAGAGTTGATGGGAAATTGTGACGTCACGACTGTTGGGAAAATAAGCTCGGTGATAAGCTCCGACTCATTCAAAACATTGCCGTGATTGTGTCTAGCCTAAGCTTTCAAGCATGTCTTTGTCCCCAATTTACTGCGAATGATTTTCAAACTGTTTATATTGTATTGTTATGAAAATATTTCACTTCTTCGTTATTAAACCTTTCTATATAAGTCATGTATGTTTCATTTAAAAAGAATAAAGTTTATACTTTTATATATTATACATTTAACTTTATACTTTTTTCATTTTTACGTTAATGTTTGAAAACATAAATCGGTATAATTCATAAACCATTCATGACCATTTGGTAGTCACAAACCATTTATTGACCTACCATTTAGTGGTTCTCTAAAATGTAATGTTTTAGGCGTTTTAATAACCTTAACTTGTTGAAAAATCCTTGTTTTGTACTCCCATATGTTGTCTTATTGTTTCCCATATGTATATTTCATTTTTGGTATTTCAGGTTCAAAACTAGTTAACTTAAACGGTCATATCACGAAGTTAGCAAAATCACCTTCAGGTGTTTTGGTAATAGAGTTTGAAGAAGATGTACTTAAAAGTATGAAGAAGAAAATAAGTGCGAATCCTTTAAAGAAAATAGTTTTGAAGAATACAAATTCTGGATATTTTTCACTTGAATTCATTTCTAATGAACAGGAATATGATGTTGATAGAGTGATGACACTGAAGAATGTTTTATCGGGATGTTTATTTTTCAAAGGAAATTGTAATATTTCTACGCTATTAAACAAAACCATAGGTGATTTTACACTGGACAATGTAAAACTATGTAGCGAATATGAGAACCTAAAACCTAACGCTGTTCTGAGAGAGACTTCATCTGGTGTTGTTTTAGTTATTGCTACGGATCCATTGCATTTGATTAAGAAAAGGGTTATTACTTTTAATCGATCACCCGAAACCTATTCGAAGGTTAAAATACTTAATTTAGATAACACCGTCATCCAATTCCCAGGAGTGTTGAAATCCACAAGATCGCAGAACTACATTGTTACTGTTGACAAGGAATTTGAAAAGAACTTTCGGGATACAGTAAATAAAATTATTAAAGACGATAGTGCAGTTATCACTACTTTAAGAAAAAGCGACTCTAACAGTTATTTGCTTAGATTTGGCTGTGACATTAAGCCCGAAACAAATATTGGTATATTGAAAAAAAGTCGATCCGGAAATATAAAAATAATTTTAAATGACTCGAATGGTGTGAATTCACTGATAAGAGGGAAGTGCGACTCATTTGAATTGAAGCGTTTGACAGAACATTGCATTGATTTGCTTAGGAAACTTCCCAATAAGAATGCTTATTATGTAACGCTACGTCGAGAACACCCTATTGGACCTGGTTGTTGCAGTTCCAATAACTACCAAATACCAAAGAAAATAGAGAAAGCCTCTCAAATACGGCGGATTCCTTTGTTAGAAACCACGTTATCAGAAAAACGTACTGTCCCATTGGATGAAACGTCAAAAACAAAGTTTATAGACAGACTAAGAAACTATTTGTTAAACCCGTCTAAATCTTCACACATTAAGACAACTATTTCAGATAGTTCAATCTTAGTTATAAAAAGACCGTGTAAAAATCCAGTATTTATGAAAATCACGCCATCCAGCAATATTTATGTATTGCCGAATAAACAATCAGTTAGAGAAAATGTACGTGTTCAATGTTCGCTTAGTAATTTGGTAGATGATGACATAATTAAGAGATACGGAAATAATGGCATAAGCAAAAAATTGGCCGGTACAAGTTCCCGTTCAAAATTGTATGATGCTTCAATGAAGCAAGAATGCAAATGTGCAACGTCGAAAGAAAACTTAAAACAGTTAAAAATCGACTGCAATTCTAGACAAGCGATTAAAACGGAAGTGAAAGCGAACAAATCTCTTGTAAGCGGCACAGATTCCATTGAGTTGGGAAAGATCATGCCATATATTGTAATTGAACCAAGTCCGAATTTATCTTGCATATACCATAACGTTGAACACAATACATCATTAGATAATATATCTTCTTCTGGTGTTAGTAATAGAGTTCAAGAGAATACTATAAGGTCCTGTCAATATCACTCCGGTTGGGATTCTTTGAGTTTTCTACCGCCGCAATTGCCTTCTTTTCTTGGTGACGTCATCCATCTGTACAATTAATTTTATTCACTGCTTGTTCGTAGATGCAGTTGTGGTTTTAAATTAAAATAAAATATATACCTTAAATGTTTTGGAGACTTCTATACATTTGTGTATCGAATAAGGTTTAGTAAATATAAGTAACAGCCTATACATAAAGGGACATATATAGGCTGGGCAAAGGCTTCCTCTGTGCAGAGGTTGTCAGGGCATAGTCCACCACGAGGCCCGATAGTGAATTGGCGGACTTGACATATCTTCGAAAGTTTCCTCACCATTTTTTCCTTCACCGCTGAGCACATGTTAAGTCAGCGCTTAAAATTAACAATTTCATTAGTGCCAGCACCGGGAGGTGAACACAGGTTGTCGAGTATATTGAATTAAAGGCGAGCTCGAAAGAGATGTAAAAAGTGTAATTTTGACGAAGGTGCATTTTAAAAGAGGCTTCGGAGCCATTAACAGTTTCATATTTTTTTAAATTGTAATTTTCTCCTTTCAAATATTAATTTTCTGTTTTCTCCACTTTCAAACATTAATTTTCCACTTAGAGCAAAATTTGTAAGCGGATTAACACGATATTGTCAATGTGGTGTTCATCATGCGAAAAATGTGGTGGTAAATATGTTAATATACTGCAATGCAGTCTTGTAGTCCGTTTCAGAAAGAAATAAGTAACAGACAAAAAAAAGTATCACAGCACCGGAAAACAACATTGCTAATCTACTCTAAATGGTTTACTTCTGATTAGTCCCATAAGTCCTAAGGGACGGAACTATAAAGTTTTACTACCGGCCAATCGATGCCGTAGACTGGCTCATTTGTATTCCTGGCTGGATTTTCACAAAGTCAAGGAGTATGTGATTCGATGCTATACCGTATGGTATCTTACTGGAGTTGCATTAACAATCTCACTATTAGGCTTTTTATTTCAGTTTATTGAAGTTTTAGTAATTACTATTCTAGTTACTAAAGCTTTCAAGCTAAGTGTTTACTAGAGAAAGGAAAGATTTTGTAATTTATTAAGTATACATAGTGATCAAGTGAAGGGCTAACAACAGTATGAAAGAGGAGTAAAGTGTTTAAGGAGAAGAGGAGAATGGGATGATAAGGATCCATAATGGAAAAAAGAAAATATTGTTACGATCAGGTGGTTGACATTTTAAAATCTAAATAACCTGCGATGACAGTTTCGAATGATGTAGTTGCTTTAACTTTAAATAAGTAATGTAGAGTGAAAGAAGGTTCTTATTCTGGAACTTTCTATTCAAAGAGACGAGATCGTAATTCGGGCCCTTATTCCAGAGAGTTATATTAAAAGGTAAACGAAATGCAAATCGTTTCTAGAATGTTTTAGCCGCAAAGACAATTTCAATTCGAACTATAATCGTATCGCGCTAGACAGGCAGTTCAGTGAACTCGAAGAAGAAGGAAGATGAAAAAAAAAGTGAAGTGTAAGTGACAAGTAGTGAAAAGGCATATGCGGAGGATTGGTGCGGTAACGTGTGGGCTGTCGCATCTGTAGAAGCGTACGTCTAGATCGGTGCGAAGAACAGCTTGTGTACAATTATAATAATAACTCATTTAATCAATCCAGCAAACAATAGTATATTTAAATTAAAAATGTAAATATAATAATAATAATAATGAGTTTAAATTGTTGACAGGGGCCAATGCTGGGATTCTGCTGACACCTATGAAATTATCATAGGTGTCCTTCGCGTGATCGCTTCCGCGTGTAATTGGCAAAATTCGTCATACATAAATCTTAATAGTTATTTTTAGTTCGTAGTTACTAAAATGTAGTAAATAGTACATTAACGTCAAACTTTATTAATAAAATTTGTGAATAAAGATGAACAAATCTCGTAAAGAAATTGCTCGTGAATAATTGTTTGTATAATTATTCATTCATAAGCGACAATAAACCTTAACCCTTCCTCTGGGTAGGTTAGTTTAGGTTTGGGTTAGTTTTCTCGCGTCACTGCACTTCTGGCGCGAGGAGGCGATAGGCCGGGACCACCTGCCGGCCTTAGACGAGTTGAGGGGGCGCAGACTAAGGCTGCGCTCACTCGCTGTTGCCGAGTGGGAGCAGAGGCTGGAGCACCCCAGTGCCGGCCTAAGAACCATAGAGGCCATACGTCCGGTACTCAGTCGGTGGCTGGACAGGCGTCACGGCACCCTCACCTACCGGGCGACGCAGGTTCTCTCGAGTCATGGCTGTTTTGGGAGGTACCTGTGTCACTTGGCGGGGAGGGAGCCAAAAGCGGTTTGCCACCACTGCGACGTATGTGCCGAGGAGACGGCCCAACACGCACTGGAGGAGCGCCCAGCCTGGCGGGAGCAGCGCCGAGAGCTGATGGCTATCGTGGGGCACGATCTCGTGGGGTGCCGTCCTTGCATTCTGCGAGGACATAAACACCCGGAAGGAGGCCGCTGCCTCGGGAGGCAACTGCCACCCTGGAAATCCGCCGCCGGCGACCAGGGCGCAGGAGGCTGGCCTACGCGCGAAACCTTCCCCCCTGATAGCAAGCCCCGGGGCGCCAGATGTGGGACTAACTGCTGCCCCGCGGAGGGCTTGAGAGGGGTACCGTGCTCATTGCACCGACACGGCACCATTTGGCTGGACCGGGTGTCTAAGCGGGGTTCGCGGACGATTGCGTTTTCGTTTTCCCGTGACCCCGGCAAAGCGACAGCGCAGGTGCAACGTGGTTTTTTTAGTTGTTGTAACTCCCACATACCCCTGATGGCGAACCTACCCACAAGGCAGCATCCATAAAGGATTTTTCGCACGTAAAAAAAAAAAGGTTAGGTTAGTTTAGCGTTGGTAGGGCCACGCAGCAGCCTCGGCTGTTGCACGAATGGTATTTACTTAACAACAGGTGAAACGTTTG